GGAAAGACTTCAGCCCAAGGTCTGAAACGCTGCCACCTAGTGGAGAAATTAAATTTTTATTTGACCTACTGTACAGTATTTCATTCGACTTGAAACAATCACATGTGGTAATTGACATCGATCTTTTATTAGCTCATCAAGTCTCTGAAAAAAGCCCTCGAGCCTGTGCTAACCGATGTGCGGATTGACTGGTACCTGCCTGAAAACATGGAGGCCCTTCTTTCGCCCAATGAAATCCCTGCGCTCTACCCGGGCAATCGCCTTATTGGATATTGCACACTCTATGACATGACAACTTTTAAAGCCAAAAAGACAGAGGTAAGACTCTAGTCCTAAATGCTTTCCACTGGGTATTGCTGCGTGAATGTTGAGGCGAAATGAAGCTCTACAACCCACTTTAACATAATTTCATGGCACAACTATGCCACACGTCATCATCGCTCCGTGGTGCCAAGATGTTATAAGATGGCCACAAATCACTTCTTTTGCCTCCGTGAAGCTCCACAACTCACTTCAACATACAGTATTTGTTCTTCTGCACCAAGATGGCAGCAAATCACTGCCTATGTCCTAAAACTCCGCAACTCGCTTCAAAAGTAATGCTGAGGTTTTTCAGTTCATAGGATCCAAACCAAATCCACAAACACACTGAAAAACGTAAATAAATAAATTCAACTCACACTTTTTTTGTGCTTTTAGCATGCTGCATGACACCACATGCCACATAATTCCATCATAATTAATATTTGGAGTAATGTAAAGTCAGTTAGAAATGGTATTAGTGTTTTGGGATCATAATTTCTGGTATATTTGCAGTTTTAACTATTAATAGATTGTAGCCAATTTTTATTGCACACTCTATGACATGACAACTTTTAAAGCCAAAAAGACAGAGGTAAGACTCTAGTCCTAAATGCTTTCCACTGGGTATTGCTGCGTGAATGTTGAGGCGAAATGAAGCTCTACAACCCACTTTAACATAATTTCATGGCACAACTATGCCACACGTCATCATCGCTCCGTGGTGCCAAGATGTTATAAGATGGCAGCAAATCACTCCCTATGTCCTAAAATTCCACAACTCACTTCAAAAGTAATGCTTAGGTTTTTCAGTTCATAGGATCCAAAACCAAATCCATAAATAAATTGAAAAACGTAAATAAATTCAACTCACACTTTTTTTGTGCTTTTAGCATGCTGCATGACACCACATGCCACATAATTCCATCATAATTAATATTTGGAGTAATGTAAAGTCAGTTAGAAATGGTATTAGTGTTTTGGGATCATAATTTCTGGTATATTTGCAGTTTTAACTATTAATAGATTGTAGCCAATTTTTAAGAGGGTATCAATTACTCATGATTTGTGGCAGGTCTCAGTTGCCGCAGAAGAATAATTAATTTCTTGTTACATGAATGTTTATTTCTGCCAACTTTTCTGAAATGCCTACCTATATGTTTCAGAGGGGCTACAAGGGTATACACAACACCTCCATGGGTTCTGTTTTTTGCCCGTCAAATGACGACATCTCACCTCCGACTTCTGAGCTCATGCCTGCGGTGACTTGTCCAGAAGGGAACGACCTGGAGGAGGCGATGAGGGAAATTTCCAGAGAAATCTCCTCAGAGTTCTCCTGTGCCAAAGACGCGGACCCTGACCCCTGTGCAGGCCAGTCGCAACGAATAACATTGCATTGCTCCGAGTGTTACAAACGAGTGGATATTTTCCAGCTTACTTGCATGAGAAGATGGATAATTTTGAAAATGTTTCAAACTTTCCATGGAAGTTATGGAAATTACTGGGAATTGAGGGGGTTTAGTGGAAAGGGACGACATTCAAGAATGAACATTTTGCAAAATACAATTTTTATAATATGTACACTTATACAAAAGTAGTATGGATAATACGCAAGTCAAGGTACTATGTACCAGCATGAAATTTGGGTGCTGTAGTCAGGAATCAAGATTATGCGAAACAATATTTAAGTTCCCAATTATGAGCTAACCTTCCATTTCGTCAATTGCGATGGAAAGTTTACACTGAATTTTACGTTAATCAAACCCTCCACCGTGGTTAACACTTGCCTTATATGCGCTCTACAGGTGGAGAGTTAGACTGGTCAAGCGACGTGAGGACGAGGATCCAGGAGAGCTCCTACATTCAGGAGCAATACATCCTGACCCGCTGCTCACTCAGTAGTGAGCGGAGTCTCCCCACACACGTACAGGCCTCTTCAAGTACTGACGCAACGAGCCGGGCCTGTCTGCCTGACCCTATGCCGTCTGCTCCGCTACTGGACACGGGATCTTTACCTCAAGGCCTTGAGAAGATACCCGGTCCAGAACCGCGGTCATCTTTGTCTCGCTGGGCTGACTCGGCGTGGCAGCAGAACCTCTCAGCTGACACTGGTGACGACAGCAGGAAAAATGTAAATATTTTCATAGTTGTAAAAATTGGCTTGATTTTTGTGTCGGGGCAATTCCAGTTTAGAGTGCTAAAATGACAAAGGCGGTATCCAAGTGCCCACTTCACAGCGGCAGACTTTTCATGACAAGTGGGGGTCTTCTTGCCGTTCTTTATAAATGTAGTTTGGGCACATCTCCATGGACTCCACCATGTTCATTATGCTTCTGCCATGTAGACCGGGCACCTCACCCACACTAACTATAAAGGGAATGAGCGGAGCCGCTTCGATTGGGCTCCCGGGAACCAAGGCGATTGTGTTCACTCCCACAATGGCGCAAACGCCCATTTCTACCAACGTGCAACTATGAACATACCCTAAGAAAGAAAACTTAACCCATGCGGATATTTAGACCGCGCTTTGTGCTAGATTTGCACTGGGCATGAAAATAGGAATCAGGTGGACGCATGTCTACACAGCGGACACTCAGACCTTGAGGAGTTCAGTGGCGTTTCTTGATACTCTGTACTCAAGTAGAAATACAGAACATGGCGTAAAAGTGACTGTGAAAGTTGAAGTACTATACATGAATGTGTGTTTTATAAAACATTTGTGACCCACATAATAGTTGCCCTTGTTTTAGAACATCCATCACCGCTTTCCTTCAACTTTTTGAATCTTAAATAACAACTCACAAATTCGGCTTTTTCCTCTCCAGAATGTACACTTGTCTTGTAGCGACGACTCACATTGGAGACAAAAATCACTGGCCCGTTCCACCATGGCAGCGAGAAGCTTCTCATCGCCGCAGGGTGAGCTGGAGATGCACCGCCTCAGGAGAGCTCTGGAAAGGGTCTCCTTCGACCAAACTCTGGGAGGAAGGCTGGATGAAAGTGACGGGGAGACAAAGCCACCAGAGACACTGTCCCGCAGAAGTCTTAATGATTCCAGTGAGTTGACAAGAATTATCCCTTTCCTTCTTCCCTTCATCTCATAAGTCGAGGTACCGCTTCATTTCTTTCTCCCTCCCACCCGACAGGTGGACTCCTTTTTCCTGCCTCTCCTCTGGACTGGGACAACTTCACAGACCCCGACTACCTATTCACTGCAGTTCCACTAGAAGATCCTCAACCGGGCCAATGCCGCTCCCTCATTCACGGCCTTCTTTGCGGCAGACCTGTAACGTGGGAGGCCACGGTGAACCTGGCCCACCTCTTGCTCCCTGAGGACCAGAGGGCAAGAGTGGGGGAAGGATGCAGAAGTCAAGGAGGGGGAAGAGAGAGGGAATCTTGGGACGAGATCATACACCAGCTGACGGCTCGTTCTGTCATAAGAGACTTTGAGAAAATGTCCGAAAGGGAGGACCAAAAAGGACATGGTTGAGTTTAAACTACATATATATATTTTTTAAAATACAACTATAACATTCATTGCATGTATTTTCGATCGGTACTCTAGCTTCTTTCCACATTTCAAAAGCATACACAACAGCTGGTATCAGCTGAAGCTCACCGGCAAGCCTAATGAGGACAAGCTCTGTCGAAAATGAATGGCTAGATAATATCCATACCGTATACTTGCAAGTATACTCACAATGTATGTCTGTAGGTTCAGCTAAGCGGTACCGTGTGAAGGCCATCCAGACCAGTAAGCATTGTAACATCGTCTGCATGTACACGGCCTTCACCATAATTGACAGCAACCCTAACAAAAGCATCCAGGATGGTGTGGAGGTCCAAAATACAGGTATGCCAACTATACTCGCATTGGTCACAACATGAAGTACACATACACAATAAAACAAGTTCCAATTGAACATGAATCAAAATGGTTACGTAAAGATACTTTAGTACAGTAAACGACCACAAATACCAAGCCAGTACCTACCTAAATTATGACTTGCTTTATAATTATGCATATTTATTCATTTCTGTGCGTTTAGGGATCCATTTGGGAAATAGTCGCAGTTCCCATTCAGGCAGTCGCAAGAAGAAATCCTATTCTGCAGGTGTGGGCAGAAGACCCATTAGCGGAGACTGTGAAGAAGGCGAGGACACGTGGAACTCGACAGGTAGATGGAATGAAATGCCATGATTAGTTTGTTCGTCAAGGCGTCAACTATGTTTTTGTCTCTCAGACAGGGATGACACTCCTACCTCACCGTGCAGCCTTACATCCTGGGAGTCGAGTAAGTACTGTCTACTTGCTCAAAACAGGTCTTTATTTACGAATAACAATTTTCAAAATTTGCTTTCTTCAATCAGTGATATTCACAGCCATATTTTTTTTTTCATCGTGCTGCGAAACACAACTAATACTGTATTATTGCATCTTACTTGAGACAGTTTTCTTTCAAGTCTGTGTATAGTGTGACTTTGTATTACTCTGCCCTCTGGTGGTCAAGGCACGCAAAACAGAGAAAAGACCGAAACGTGCCCATTGAATTGCCATGAGGCACAAAACTTTTTCATTATGTTGTTACTATGTGCTCTTATAAAGAAAAACAGAGTTCTTTTGTGGTTATGGAATGACTTGATTCAACTTGTAAATCAAGGCATGACCATACTGTTCTGTACACGTGCCAGTGTGGCTAAAGCACATCTATTTCACCTTGTTTTATTCAAACTGACAGACGCCATCAGTGCTGCTGCATCGGTAACAACGGGCCCGTCGACCACTCGTTCTCAGCGATCTATAGAGAGCAAGTCAATGGAGAGCTTTTTTGGCACCAGGTAATCTTGCAAAACAAGAGCGTAATCGAAATGTCAAGATCCCCAATTATGCAATGTGTATAATGGGACCTGCATCTCAGATTGTTTAGGTGGATCTAATATGACCGATGAGTCTGTACTCGCATTATCAGCGTTGAAAGCACGGCATACTTTAAGTGGAGTCCATCTACATTCAACTCTAAATGACCTCTAAACTCATTTTACCTCTTCTAGGTTTCCCCTTGGCAGACTCAGGTCCTCGATTTCATCAGGACGACAGGTGCCACTGAAGTCCCACTGCTTGTCTGCAGAGACTGACAAACAACCTGAGAATGAAGCTCCAGACTACCTGCCCCTGGTGAGTCAGTATAAAGACACAGACAACAAATTTACAGTGGAACTTCAAAAATGGAATTGATCCTTTTAACCAAAAATTCCTAAGCCTGTACATGTACTGTTGTCTTATCTGGTTTATCTTCTTAGGTTCGCCTTCAGCTGGCCTCGGGAGCTTTTCTGCTCACTGAGATATACGCCGACTGTGTTCAGATTTCCTTGGACCGCCTAAAAAGGGCTTCCCCCTACAGTCTGCATCGTCGCAGCCTTAGCCCGCCTTTCCGCTGCGCGTCTCCCAGTGCTCCGTCTTTATCCGCCTCCGCCAAACCTCAGGGTCATCACCATGTCACCTTTTCCCCCTCCTCCTGCACCCTCGCCAAAACAACCGCGCCGCCCTTCCACCACACGCCAGACGACACCCCCTTGATGCTGGAACCCAGGCTTCGCCGACGACAACTGTCAGACCGAGACCCCATCACCTTATCCCAAGATCTCCCTAGTTCTGAAGAAGGCTCCCTGGAGCTACCAGGGGGCAACTCTCCAGGCCAGAGTCACGGACAGGCAGACAGCGGTCGCGGGTCAGAGACAGACGTATGTGAGGGATCTTCACAGGAGCCCCCCTACCTCCAAGTGAGTAGCCAGTTGGCTCAAGACAACCTGGAGGGCTCAAGCTGGGCGACCGCAGTGGCTCTGGCCTGGCTCGAGCACCGCTGCGCCGGATATTTCATGGAGTGGGAGTTGGTGGCGGCAAAAGCGGACTTTTGGCTGCGCGGCCAGGAGCTGCCCGAGGGAGTGGACCTGGCTGGGTTGAGGGGGGCTGCCAGACAGCTGTTCCTGCTGTTGCGTCACTGGGATGAGAACATCAAATTCAACATGCTGTGTTATAACCCCAATAATATGTGAGGCAATAGTCCGCAAGGGGGAATCATGGGGAGTCATTGCGACTCGGACGAGAGGCGACTCGAGTGACCCGTTTTGACGACTTGGAAGTTGATCGTTGTTAATTTTTAGGTCAAACTTTGTCGCAGGCTATGTCATTGTTATTTTTTACCGCAGATGGCAGATATTAATGGCATTAATGGTGTTTTTAGTTTCGGAGGGTGGTTAAAGAATGAATTAAACTGAAGGGTGTTTGCGACGACAGCCTCTTGACTGATTTCCACACTGATGCAGAGTCGTTAGCAGTGATTTGAAAACTGTTCAAGCTTTTGGTGTTTTATTAAGCCACCTAACAGAGTATAAAACAAGTTTTGACTGACACTGAAATAAAGATGATGATTTTTTTTTTTTTAAGGTGTGTTATGAAATGGTCTTGCGTTTGAGTAGATAATCTTGAGGTGTTAAAAAGTTTAGCTTCTTGGCCAAAAGTATTTTGACCTTATTCATCCACTCTTCTGGATTTTCTGTGTGGCCCCAAAATAGAAAAAATATATAATCCCTTTCATAGGCCATCGATTTGTCTATTTTGTGAACACAATTTTGAAGTTTCTCAAAATACACATTTATGTCAGGGAGCACTGGGAAACCTAACACACACACAAACATCAGAGATTCACCGTGTGGCCCAAAAATAGAAATATATATATTTCACAGGGGCTACAATTTTCAATAACTTTGTAAGGCGCCTTACAAACAACAGATTTTATTACAGGGAGCCCCAGAAACCTTCCAAACACACATCCGGACTCCTGGTGTGGGCCCGAAATTAAGGGGGAGGGGGGGGACCTTTCATTGGCACGGGTGAATTTTGTCAACTTAGTAAGAATCGCGTTTTACATAAAAAGTCCAAATTTTCAAGATGCTTTAAAAAAGTCCCTTGAAACCTTCAAAACACACATCCAGCAGGACTCCAGGTGCAAGCCAAAAAGTTTTTACAGGGCTTGATTAATAATTCAGATTTATAAAATGTGCAGCTCTGTATTTTTCGTAAGACACCTGAGTCGAACGGCCATTTATGCAGTCCATCCGACCACTTCACCAGCAACCATTTTTGTACTTCACAGAGTCAAACAGTATTTTGTAGTCCATCCAAAGGCCATTTTTATAGTCTTTTCTTCCACATCCCTTAAAATAAAAGATTTGTTTTAATAAGGAAGATGAAACAAAAAAACAAACAAAGAAATAAAAGGACGTTTAAAAAAAACACACAAAGATTTTGAATTTGTTTTACATTTATTTGACAAACTACTCAATTTTGGAGTAGGTAATATTTATATGATATTTGTTTATATTTATTGTGAAGGGTAGGGGCTATACAGGGCTTTGGAACTTTTTAATGGATATTTATGATCATAGAAAAATATTTTTGAACATAATGCAAAGCTGACCTTTCTTATCCCTTAATGGTTTCAGACTGTGCAGGCATGCAAAGAAATAGACAAAAAAGTGCTCCATGCTCTTTCTAATTCGGGATGATTTGAGTGGACATACTGTACTGTATGCAAGTTAGTTTGAAACAGCAGATGTGAGTAAGCACCTGATTGTCTCGAAGAGTGGAGATTCTAACGACAATTTGGCTTGAATAAAATCCTTCATAGGGACTAATAGTAAGATGGAGACTGTACAGAAAAACACAAAAAAGAGAAGGGATACATTCTCAGCCAGGTCCATGTCGCAGGGCAGACAAACTTGCTGTGAACTACTCTACATTCAAGTTTTGTCTTCACAAACACTCCTAGAGATGGCTTAGAATCCAGTGCACGGTTTCTGCATTATACGTGTATGTGTGTGTAATTTTGTATTTTTACGCATTTGTGATTAAAACATCACCGAAACAGTGTTTGTCTCGTTTTTTCCCTCCAAATGGTTGATGAGTAATAATCCATCAGAAACTGTACTCTATTCACCAATATTGTTCTTATTGTTATTTTTTTTTTTTTGTGTAATCTCAGGAGGCTACAAGCTGCTTCTTCTGCCAGCCCGCGCGCACACGCACACCCACACACACAAAATGTACATAGAGTCAATGCGTGTGGTGATTGAGGAGTAAAGCTTTAGCGATGAGATCAAACAAAAAAAGCAGGCACTGAGCACCGTGTGCAGGAGAGAAAAAAAAATATTTTAAAAAGGGCATCCGGTGCATCTGTTGCAGTCAGCAAGGTCCAAGTGCATGGCCATAAGTCTTTGGAGCTACATAACGCCACCCGATGGCCAAAACGGACTTAACTCACGCTTGGAAAAGTCGCCTTGAGTTTTTACGAGATGATCTCTAGGATGTAGAAAACCAGCTCCATGACCACAGGGCCCTCATTGAGCTGGCAGGCGCCGCTGTGAATGACGGGAATTAGCGCATTGTCCAGGTCGCTCAGGTACGCAGGAGGAAGTGGCTGCCCATTGCTTCCTGCCAGGTAGCCCACCTGGAAGGGAGAGGGAGAAAAAAAAAAAAAAAACAAGGGAGACACTATCATTGATATATGTTTGTATGTATACAGTATTATGAGAGAAAGTAGCACCATATCAATATTTTTTTCAAAACTCATTGTTAAATGTGCTACTGCACATACAGTGGCGGACCATTGTATGTGTAGTTGTTTGAGATACACTCCACTGGTTAAGTTCAAATATCCATTTGCTTCAAGAGTTCTAACGCCAGTGCTATTCGTTAGCCCATTTATGATGTTTTGCATGGTCTTTTAGCATTAAGCTAAACTGACAAAGCTACATGGTTGTTTTAAATACATGCCAAATTCTTTGTTTCATGTTTAGTCTGAACATAATCAAGAGAGAGAGTGGTGATAAGCAGCCTTTTTTTTTTTGGGCCACGTCTGTTCTCTCCCATCATTGGTCACTGCTGTCCCGCAATTTTGGGTACCTTGCCAAACTCAGCACTTCCTACTTTCACATTACTCCCAACATGCTAATAGACCTGCTGATGTGTGTTTTGTTTTCCATGTCATTTGTCTTGTTCCAACGTGTTTTCATGGCTTGGTTTGGCAACAAAATTCATTTAATCGTGTGCTACTTTGTAACACCACAGAGCAGGATTGAAAACAAGATGGCTGATGAAATACGCAGGAGGTTGCAATGAATTTAAAGCTAAAATTTGCATTTCTTCTTTGTTGAAATAACTGGCAAGTGCACTTTTTGTGAGTAGAGTATATGTGCCACAAGACTGTGATTGTGAATGATTATTTGTCTGTTTTGTGGCCCACATTTGGCTGGTGAACAGTCGACGGTCTACTCAGCTCAAAGCGAGCTAGGATAGACTCCAGCTCACCTGCTACCCTGAGGACGCTAAGCGTTATAGAAAATGGATGGATGGATGCAATACAGTACCTGGTCCGAGTCAAGTGTGACGCGCAGGCCCAGCTTGGCCATACCGTCCTCCTTGAGCAGCTTGAGGTGCGGGCACAATGCCATGCAGAAGGCCCGCGCCACATTCTCTGTCAGGCGGCTGTGGTCGGCTGGGTCGCTCAGGCCATTGGGCTGGTCGTCACTCCGAAGGAAAAACACCTAGCGGGAGAGAGGAGTGACTTATTCTTCGTTGTTGTCTTTTATCAAACAGACAAAAAGTTGTTGCGATAAACGTATTCATTGGATGGCTTCTGTCATCCATGCAAGAGTGCATTTGCTGTACCTCCGTCCAGCGGATCACTTTGCCGTTGGCCTTGAATTCAGAGCCATGGAAGATCTTCACGCTGGCAATGGACTCCATCGACTTGCCGTCGATCGGACTGATGACACTGAAATGCAGCAGTGTTACTATAATTTTTTTTTAATTAGGTCATTATATGAGAGTATAATGTAGAGGTGCAACAATTAATCAAATCTTATTGTTTGATTAATATTTTGACCATCAATTTATCGCATAGACACCTTGTTTGATTTAAAATTGTCCAAACTGTCTGAATATCAGCCTCTCAGAGTAAATACGCAGATGTTTGCCAATGGACCATCCGTGTAGAATCTAAATAAATCTGTTCTTAATTTAATAATTATGACATGTTTAGGACCAATCCCAAAAAATGAATCTTAATTAGTTAATTAATCAACAGCTTACGGAATAATTTTTCAGATGTCAAATTTTAAGACTGCTTATCTGTGACAGACCCCAGGCAAAAAGAGAGAAAAACAAAAAACAATTTATTCTGTTTGTGGTGTGTTCTGAGTGCCGTGCCGGTTGTCTTTTAAACGGCCCACGGTCTCACCCCTTGTTGAAGTCATGGTCGTCATCCGTCCACTGGACATGCACCTGCTCCTGGTTGTCCTCTTGCTCGGCTTTGCCGCACGTGATGGTGAAGTCCTTCATGTCCTTCAGCGCTTGCCGTAAAGCATCCATGGTCTCTGCTGTGATCTGGATCATCACACCATCTAAGATAGACGCAATGATGATGTCGTGTGAATTACCGAGGCATAAGTGCACTCATTGTATTTTTGTGGCACTGTTCTCCTCGCGTGCAATAAATGGCTGCAAAGTACATCAGCGACTTTGACTCCTTTCTCACATGAGAGCAGTACCGGAGTTTGACATATCTAGAAGCACAGGGCCGCAAAACACCCACAAACAACAAAGATTTACCTTCTACAATGCTAGTTTTGGCCAAGAAACCCGACGAGGCCTTCAGGGCACCACTGAACACAAAGAAACAAGCGCCGGTCACTGAAAAGCAAGCAAATGAGATAAGTTAGCACGTGCATGAAAGTTTGGATGAGGCAGTGTTTGCACACTACCTTTGCGCGGCTGATGATGGATGCTGATGGCCTGCGTCTGGTAGTTTCCGTCGTCGTTCTGCACGCACACCAGATGAGAGTCGGCGCGCTCGTTAAAGCACGCGCCCATTGCGAGCACGTGCTCATTGGACTTGTTCATGGCCTTCATCAACTGCAATGACACACACAGTCAGGACTAGTAATTGCAGTAAAAACATCAGAAGGCGCCAAGGAGACGGATAACAACAGAGACACGGCTGATGTCGGCAGCCGCGCGCTCGCTCGTTTTTAATCCCGTCAGATTAGTTGAATTCTTGCGAGGCAGACCAAAACTTGTAAATGTGGGGATTTTAAGCCGTGAGATAGGGCTGTGCCACGTGACTCAAAGCTGACAGCCACGCGCCGGAAAATGCAAATTCCTACCATGGTATAAAAAGAACCGTGCTGATGCAACCATTTATGGTGGAAGTGAAAAACAATTTAAGTGTTAGTTGCTTTGGGAGTAAAGGGAAAAAAAAAAGCAATGTGGCCAACATCATCCCTAGAATTCAACCTTATTGAAAACCTGCGGATCGTCCATAAAAAGGAAGCTCTATGAGGGTGGCTGGTTGGATATCACCAAACATCAACTCTGTGAGGCAATTTTTATAACCTCAAGTGAGATGTAGTCAGAAACAAGCAATGTACGTGCCAATTGAGTTCATGAGAGAGTTGCTAAAGTGATACTGATAATCATGAATAAGGATAAAAACATATTTACTTATCACATTTATTTACTTTATATTTTTTGTAAACTTTTTTCCTACTTTCGTTCCACATGTTTTTGTTTTTATGCAAAGACTTGTAAAAAAGCAATAGACACAATAGGCTTTTTGGGTCGCTTAGTTTTTTTTATATGCAGTGCATTTTTTTCCCCACAGTTCTCGACAACCTCTGTGGAATTGTTCGAGGGTTTGTTGTAATTGTTGGACATAATGTGAAAACACTGGATTTTCAGGGTTTTGTTCAGATAATTGTGATTATTACACAAACTAATATACATTTTGATTTTTTTTTTTTTTTTTTTTTAATGGTATTTGCATGGAACCAGGCTAACCTCATTATAGCGATTGCTGGGGATTTTTATGCTCGTCTTCTTAACTGCCATGTCCACTACCAGGCCTTTCACCATCGGCAATGCATACTGGTAGTTGCGGAAGTCCTGTGGGACACATGACATGATGTGTTGACACAAATGGTATAGCGCTGGTGGTGGTCAGCAAGTGAACATGAGGTCTTACTGCCAGCAGATTCATGATGGTGTGGCCAGTCTCGCCAAAGAGCGGTTTCCGGAAGCGCACGCTGAAGAGCGGGCACGGATAAACTACAACAAATACCATTATTGTAAACAGACATTAAGTCGTTAAAAAGGTGCAAATAGCACTCACATCGGTACTCGGCACCCAGCCGTAGCATGAGGCGGATGGGGAAGACCTTAGCCCAGGGTGTCTCCCATTTTTGGATGAGTACGCCGAAGAGGAAGGGCGGGTTGGGCAGCAGCAGGTCCTGCAGGGACTGGAAGGAGGGGCTAACATAGAGGAAGCCGCCGTGCTCCCTGCTGCCCAGGAAGCTCTGCGTGAAGAAGGAGTGGCTCAGGTGGCCCAGCACGTTTCCTGGAAGAGGAAGCCCAGATTATACACAAAGCCAAAAAAGCAAATATTTCCAATTTGGGTCATGGTCTGGGTGTAGTTCACAATAAAACATCACGATTCACGAAGCATTGGGGGCCATCTCTGCCACAAATAGTTAAAAAAAAAAAATCTATTAAATGGCGCCCCTGCTAAAAAGGGATTGTAATTGCTTATAGATGCCAAAAGATGACAGTAAAGACGTCGACTTTTGTCACATTGAAGATCCTCAATTCACTTCAAATAGTTTCCTTGGCACCATGATGCCGCCATGTGGCAAAGCAACTTTTAATGCAACTAAGAGTGGATAGGTTCCCCAAAATTGTGCAATTGCTGATTGGCAAATATGCAACATAGAAGTGTTCCCTGTATATGGTTCAAATTTTGGTAGCAAGCCGACAAAATCTCTACGTCTTTGATGGTTCCTTAGAAATTAGTGTTTGAGAGTGTTTTTTTTTTTCTTTTGGGATCTTCTCATGACAGACAGTGTTTTTAAATTTCATATTGCTGAGGGAAAATGGCTTAAGTCAGGTTGGGGGAAGAGCAAAAACTGATATATACAAGATAGCATTTGCCATATATTTCATATATATTGTTAAAAATTGGTAGCAAATGCACAACATTTCTAGGACGAGTCCATCTTTAAAGACCACTGGCCCAAAAAGCCATAAAATGACAGGGTTGAAACAAATGACGGACTTCCTCCGTCTTTTTATTTATTTATTTTTTATAATTTCTTGAGACTGCTCAGTGCTGTCATCTTACCACTGAGGGCCTCCTGGTAAAGATGTACAAAGTGTTTGAAGATGTCCTTTGGGATGGCCTTCTCCTCAGGTAGACACTGGAGCAGAACCACAACCTCGGCCTGGCCAACAGCATGCATGCCCTTTGTCGTCATGTACCAGCACTTCCTGTTGACATCTGACCAAAGAAAAGGAAGAAGGATTTCAGCATTTTAATACCACCTCTATATGAGGGTCATTCCAGAACTGGGGGACAATTTCTGTCCCTCCATTAAATTTCAAATCCATGGAATTGTGTAAATTACAATTATTTCAATGGTTCCACTCAGATCACACAATCATTCAAAAAGGAATAGCCTCTTTTTCAAAATTGTGGGAGGCTAAATTGTCCTCCCCTTCCGGAATGAACTCTGATGCAAAGCGGCGACTCACAGTTGACGAGCTTGACCATAGCGAGAAGGTTGGCGTTGAGGACAAAGACCAGCGGTTCAGGGCCTCCCTCCTCCAGCTGCTGCATGAGGACCATCGCTGAGGGACGCTCCTCCACTGCATAGTCTGGTTGTGGAGTCAGAGGTAACGTCGTGTGAAAACAGGCGGACGGGACTCAACGTAAAAGTGTGGATTTGTGATGTGTGAGAATTCAAGCGGACAAAAGTATAGGGACATACTCCACTTATATCAGAGGTGGAAAATGTACAAGAATGTCAACACTTTTAAACAGCAATTTTATCGATTCATCGTTGCAGCCCTAAAGGAGTCTAAAAAGAACTCTGTCCAAATACATTTGTCCATCCAGTGAGTGAACACGACAGTGTTGACTGCATGGCAACATGAAAGGACATGGAGGACACAGGGGTCAGGCAGGGGGTGGGTGGTGGGACGGTGAAGATGAGGGCAAGCACCTGTGATGTGGCCTCCCGTACCTCCTTTGACTCCGGTGGAGATGAGGATGGGAGGGAGCCCGTCCTCCGGGATCAAGCTGAGGGCACTACCCACTGGGCTGCCCACTGGACCCATGGGGTTAGGGGTGGCCTGATGTGTGAGAGAGTGAGAGAGAGAGAGAGAGAGAGAGAGAGAGAGAGAGAGAGAGAGAGAGAGAGGGGAATGAAGGTTAAAGGGAAGAAGAATCTTTGAAATTGCTCCAATGCTGAGTGAAGGGATGAAGATTACAACATTTCTGCAAATAGAAGCCATATTTACCCAACTGCCGATGGAGGGCAGGGGCATTGTTTATTAAAGGAAGGCCTTATTGGATGTCTGAAAATATTACATTTCAATCTATGACAAGTGAGCGTGGCATTTAAAATAAGTCAACAATGAGTCGTATGGAGAAATCTAGAGAACAACTAAGTCTACTGCAATGCTCACTTAAGACACATAACTTGATACCTAACTTTTTTTAAACCCTTAACTTTTAAGCTAAGAACATGCGTGTGAGCGTACCCCTGCAGCGTCCGATCCGGAGGTTTTGCTTGCATTTGTCGAGATGCCGGTGCGTTGCGTGGGCACGGGAGTTTTGGGGGACTCTGCCTCGTCGCCATTTGGTAGGACGCCATCCGCGAACCACACCTTTTTCTGGTCCCGTGTGACAGATCCTGAACAAGTCATTTATTGTGTGTAAATGTAGGGTTTTTCCTGGCTCAAACTGAGTTTGAAGTATTAACATCCTGACCATGCTCCATGATGTGCATGTATTCTGTAAATTAAACTGACTCACTCTCTTTTACAGGAAACATACTTTCAGAGTTCCATCTGTATTGGATGTGGCAAAGTGAAGCAAATTGTGAAAATGCGTCCTTCACTTGCTCTTTGGTGCTGTATCATCAAGCAAAAATGAAGACAGAATTATTGCTTTTGATTGCATGATGTCACTCAAGGTCAGCTTTACGATATTATTTGGAGAATTTATGGCGATATGTCAGCCCATCAGACATATCACTGCGGCCCGGTTAAAAAAAATTGTCTGCTACAGAAATTACAAGAAAAGGGAAGAGAATATGTAACTTCACTATAGATTTCCAAAGCGTTTGTGGCTCCTATGAATCTTGTAATAAAGGGTTCAAATGGCTCTTTAGTTGCCGACACTAATGTAACATGTGCCTCCTCACTTGCCGCACAGTGACACACCATGACAGTCTAAACCCATACTGCAGGAATCTAAACCTTGCCCAATGTACGAAAACTGCGATCAATGGTCACCAAAATTTATGATGACATCTTTACTCATCCTCACATCAACCTCTGAAAATATTAAAATGAACTCCGGCATTGCACATGCAAAATCTGAAGGTACGTGAAAACATGAGTCATGAACATGCAGGGAAACATTCAACTTCCTTGGATTAATCACTGTACTACTTTTCCTGTTTAGATGGGGCTTTGGCGTCATCTTGTGGCAATTTAGAGCAGTGCAGTGCACTTCGAATGTGCTCTGATTACTCGCTGCTACTATTGGTGGCATTCAAAAAAGAAACAAACGAACTGAAGGCCTCACCCTCGTTGCCAGGTGGCTTGAGGACGCCCACCGGCACCATGACAGTGGGCGGGGGCGAGCCGAGCACGCCCGAGGCCTGGGCCTGCTGCAGGGGAGGGATGGTAGAGCAGTACTCGGCTGGGTTGTTGGGGTTGGGACTGTGGTTGTTGCCAGCTGTGAGATGAGAATCCGACGACGTCGGAGCTGAGGATTGGGGGTACAACGACCACGCGTTATTTCCGCACTGGACAACAATGGACCACATTCACTTTTCAGAATCACACATATGTTGCGCAAGCCTTTTTTAAAGACGATTAAGGCTTTCACACAGGCTTTCCGACGTAGAAGCACTCACATTGTGTGCGAACATGGTTCAGGCTCAGCTCGTATTGCTGTGATTATTACTTTTCTTCATTGTTGTTTTAGTGAATTAGGCTCATTGTAAACGGCTTGGCATAGTCACGGACTTCAGATTTTAGCCGGGGGGTGAAACACACAATCCTCGCTCACCGCTGGTTAGGGCCAAATGACAGGTGACGCAGACGCGAGCCTCCTTCCCGTCCATGTACACCAGTTTGCATCTCAGGCCGCAGCACGTGGCACAGAAGACCTGCCATGACAGAGAAAGCACAAGCTGTAGTTGTGCAGTTCGCCCAATGTGTCAGGAGGTTCTCTAGGTCACAGATGAGCCATGTGGATGTGTCACTCCATTGTTTGTCAGTGGCACAGAGAGTGTTTGTTTACCGCTGTGGGAAATCGCAGAGCAGTCGGAATATTTTTTCTAAGTGCGGCGTCAGCGACCGTGTGCTCGTGCCAACAGTGCTGCGCAGACACCCTGATGCTTGTGTGTGTGCGCGTGTGTGTGTGTGTGTGTGTGTGTGTGTGTGTGTGTAAGCACTTAATTTTATTCTATGATGATGTACCACAAAGGTTAAATAAATTTGTTATAAAGATTAAGAGCCATTTTAGAGACCACTTTTTTTTTTGTGACACGTGCTCAAAATAAAGATGCTGATTAGAAAAAGAGAAGATTTGAGGTATGCAATCGATTTCTGATCCTCAAGTACCCGGATGCTTGTCACAGGAGCTGAATTAGCACATTGAAAGTTTGAATTTTACTCACAAAACTGAATGTGAAAAGTCACTGAACTGAATCTGTGTGGAAAATATTTTTATTTTTGTAATGTGAAAAAATATACAAGATTGAATTTTCAGTGAAAAATCCAAATTCAAATTGTACAATTCAGATTCAGTTTTAAAAAGTAAAGATGTGACTCCGTTTCTCAAAGCGCTTTTTCAAGTTTCGTGATTCAAATGTAATTACACATCATTCACATTCTGTCTTTGGTAGCACATTTCAGTCCATAACTGTCCCCTTACCTTGCCACAGGCCCTGCAGTGGTGCCTCCTCTTGGTAAAAGTGAACCTGGCGTCGCACCTCATGCAGACGGGGGCCTGTGAGTCAGGCACCCACACCGGGGCCACCTTGCCCAGCGGGCTTGGGGACTTCCCACTGAGGGAGCCGTGCTGTCCTGCCTGAAGGTCGTTGTCCGGACTCTCCGAGGACAAAGCAAGGGCAGAAGTGGGGAGGACCGTGACGCCGTTCACCGCCGAAGTCACCTCGGTCCCGCCGAGCGTCGGTTCGGGCGGCGTCCCCCTGCGGTTATCCAGGTTCTTGTTCTTGCTACTCAGCTGGTTCTGCACTTGGCCCACAAGGGGCTGTGGGATTTGGAGTTTGAGGCTGACAGGCTGCTTGGGTCGCGCCCCACCGTATGGGACGCTGACAGGTTGTAGGCGGCTGTTGTTCAGTTTCGCAATAACGCCGCCTGACGCTGCCCCTTCACCGCTCTCCTGCTTGCTCTCCTCCATCTCCTTCTCCTCCGTCACAGAGTCTTCCTTGGACGGCACGGGTGAGGGAGAGAGCCTCCCCTCCTCTTCCTCCTCCCGGACATTTAGTCGGCTCTCATTCTCGTGTTGTAAACCGTTGGAAAGGAGCTGCTCAGACTGAGGTCTGGACACAGAGTCTCTACCCACTCCTCCATTTAGAAAACGTTCTACCTGCTCGCCACTTTGTCTTTCTTGCTCAGAATACGGCGAACTGCCTTCTCCATTCAAAGTAGCCGGCTTCACGTGTGGATGAACCTTCTCAGAGGGATTCCCTTCTTGCTCTAGTCCCACCTCGAAGGTGAAGCAGGACGCGGCGGAGGCGTCCCCGTGCTGCTCCTTGCAGGCCGTGACGGACAGCGGCGAACGGCTGTCCGTCCCCACCAGTTTGCCGATGTTGGGCTGCGGCAGGGGTGGGCTGTGGACATCGGCCGGCTCACCGCCGGTAGGTCTTTTGGGATCGGGGAGAGTCTTCAGTGGCTGCAGACTCTCCTGGGGGCTGAGGTCAGCGTGGGCCAGGGCGGGGTTCAAAGAGAGCAGGTGGGCAGGTGGTGCTAGAATCTGGGTCCACTTGGCATCCGTGAAGAGAGGGGAGTCAGTCTCATCTGACACAAGAGGAGAAGGACATGTTTAGTGTTCAGGGGACCGCATATCCATCAGTTATCACATGTCAAACGTAAATTGGTGGCCAGTCAATCACAGGTTGCTTTAGGAGTGTAACTGCAACCCCCCACCCCCACAGGGAAAAAAAAAAAAAAAAACTCTTAAAGCACGGTTCTGAAAGTACCTTGGTCACTGTCATGCACTTGGTTGAGTTTAAATTGCCTACGGTATGCGAACAGAATGTAAAAACATAAATAGGAAACAATTTCATGACATAAAATTAAACTGCTACAATTAAATTTCCGCCCCAAAAAGCCTCAAATCATACAATACAAGAAAACAAAAATCTCATATCGCAGCTTAAATCTTAAAAAAAGTGCAATGCCAAATTTCTACCAGTAAATTCTCTCAATGAAAGGTTCTCAAATAAACGAAATAATTTATACCATAAAATTAAAAATATCAATTTTAAATAATAAATAACAGCTTAAATATTTTCTTTTTACAAGCGTGTTAAATCAAACTACTGTCAGTAAATTCTAAATACATGAACGATGATCAAATAAACAAAATAATACTCAATTTTTAATACACAATAACAGCTTATATGTTTTTGTATTAAGAAAATGCAAATCCAATAGTCGGTCTTCTTTTTAAGAAATGAAAAATGCTGGAAGTAAGTTTGCGCGGCCCCACATTTTTTTTTCATGCTGCACTGCTCTTGAAGTGTATGTTTCGAAACAGGTTTGAAAAGTGAAGAAAAAAAACATAATAGGTGTTATTACCTCAATTCACTGACGCCATCCTTCAACATTGACATTAATGAATTAGCTGCTGGGCATGTTTGAACTCTGTCACTAACCAAAACAGCAGCACCTACCAACGTACGTAATGCTTTCATAATTCCATTGGAATTAATTTGAAGCAACACTCAAGTCTAGTCAGCATGAGTGCTACTGAACTCCCGGGACTGGAATGTGAGCGAGGCTGCTATTGTTGTTGCTGCAGCAACGTGTGTGTGTGCGTGTGCGCACGCACACACACACACACACACACACACACACACACACACACACACACACACAAAAGCACAGGGGCATTACAAAATATTGTGGACGTATGAATCAGCAGCTTCCGTGTCACAATTAGGAGAATTAAACACGGATGTGACTTCTTGATGTGAAAGTGTGTCTAAACTCATGGGAAATGCTTAATTAGTTCTTTGGCCTGATTGAATGAGCTCTATTTTGTCATCTAAGAAGGGAAGCCATAATGTTGTTTCATAAGATGGCCATTATACCACGTTTTTCGAAGAGGGGAGACTGTCGAAATGTTGTGAACTCCTGTTTCAATGCCAGTAGAATCAAGTTTAGTATTTTTATAAAATTGATCTGTATATTTCAAATGTATTTTTTTTAAATATTTCTGCATTTTCCATCTGTTTTTTTATTCCTAATATATTTGTATATTTTGTCGACTATTTATTTCCCCAATAGTTTTCCCCCATCCATCACATTCCGCTTATTATTGCAAACTATTTATTTTCATTTATATCTTTTTTTTTTCTTTTTTTTCTAATAAGGACTCATGATACTCCCATGTGCTGACAAACACGCACACGCACAGAATGACACACAGACAAAAAGTAAGAAATAGAAAATCTATCCGAATGCTCTCAACTCCTTTTTCAAAAGCCGATCAATTAATTGACTGTGTTCACCTTCGTTCTGCTCAAACTCGTCCAGCACCTTGTCCAAGTTGAAAGCCTCGGCCTGGAAATAATTCTCCATGGATCAGGAAACTGCTCCTCCTCCTCTGCGGCCAGCGTGAACCTTCAGGAAACGGGCAATGGGCATCGATGACAAATATGTCGCCATCCTTCACGTCACTGAATGTGATTTCACATGGTGTGTGTGCGTGCGCCCGTGTGTACTCGACACGTTCACTGACCTACACAGAGGTCCTTCTCAGTAGTCGCAGGCCGTCTTTGATCTGAGCACGTTTCCCCTCTCAGTGAACACTTGAGCTGCTATGGCAGGCGTCCACGCCTTGTGTGTGGGGAGAAACAAAAATGGTCAAACACACAGTCTAATTCAATATTGTGAATTATGTTGTAATATTTTTGTCATAATTCTTCTTTTTTTATCAATTATTTTTCCCCAGTATTTTTTTACTTCTACATCTAATATTTAACTTTTCAGAAATATTGTCGTATTTCCTCATCAAATATTTTGTTTCGTGTGCATATGTTTCTCGCAATTTTTGTGTCTTTTTGGTCGATTCTGTCATATTAAAGAGATATTTTTATGTAATAAGAGAATATGCTTTTGGGTCTCGTGTGATTGTGCAGGTTTACCTAATGTGTTTGATTTCTGACTTCCACTCCCATCAACCAATCCTGAATGCATATTTGTTTTGTCAGCATATTTCGTCACACAACCGATAACTAGGGATCATCTAAAAATTTCATAGCTTTTCATCTCACGTCAACCTTCCAGGAACACTTTTATAAACACTTCATTTCATCGAAGAGTGACTCGCCCGCGTGTGTTCTGCTCAGTCGACCGCACATGCGACATGAGCTTGAGCGGGATTAGCCAGCAAAATGAGCAGAGTCGGCTCATTTTTCCGCTCAGTTAAAGATGCGGTGTAGTGCATACACTTGTTATCACGCACACTGTGCCACAAACATGCACACGCGGCTGAATGTCATATATCAAACATACAAAACAGGTATGAGTGAGGGCACAGATACCCATGAAAAAGAAAATACAACTGCGAAATGCACTTAAAAAAAAGGGTCTGACTGCTCAGAAAAAAAAAAATCATACATATCATACAGAAAAAATAAAGATAAATTCTAATTGTGCTGTAGCTCAACAAGAGATTTTGGAACACTGCCATCTGGGTGAAGATTTTCAAGGATGTAGAAAGAGGAATACACACACACACACACACACACACACACACACACACACACACACACACACACACAGGCTACACAAATGCCACACACGCACACGTAACACACGCAGATTAAGATTTAATTTGCCCGGAGAGGTGCTGAATAATGCACACTTTTATTTTTAGACATTAAAGCACATATGACATATGGATGTTGTTGACATTCATGTCAAGTAGCAGCAGTCCTTCTAAAGTGACAAGATAGAGTGCACTACTTCACTCTCAGCTAGTTTGCTGTCAAAAAAAAAAGACCAACACGACAAGCATACATCCACGTGTATGTATGACACAACACCTTCAGACAGCATTACTACTCTTCTCACTAAAAGATCAACAAGAGGTTCATGCACACAGAGACACTGCAGAATTGCTTCACCAGAGCCATAAATGAAGACCTTTCACAAAAGGTGGGAAGTGGGACATTGTCACAACTATGTGTGCAGATAATTAGATGACTTTACTGCCAGCGTTTGGTGTGATGTATAAACAAGTTGTCGGACAAAACCAAATGGTGCGGGAGAAGCAAGTCTGAGGTGTTAAATTTCACACTCTGGTCCCCGCATTGCAGAATTCCCTCACACAGATTTCACGCATGGAATGAATGATGGTTAACAGGCACGTGCAGACATTTTTGGGGGTAGGTGCACAAGCAAAATAGATAAATAAATAAATGATTTGAAATCTTTTTTCTTCCAGTGCAAAGGGACAGGTGCTTGCGCACCACCTACTGGCCCATGTGTGCATGTGCCTGGTGGTTACCTTTTTTTAACACTTAAATGACACCATCGCGGCAGGAATGCACGTTTGAAATTCGAGGATTTGATATGCCACCATGTCGACAGCTCCAAAAAAAGGCTTCTTCCTACTATTTTTTTTTTTAATGGGAGGTTGACATCGATTGTTCATTTCTCCTTGGTCAATTATGTAACAGCGCAGCTCTGCATTTTGTTGAGTCATGACAACAAAACTTCCTTGTGTTGACTTTCAAGAAACACTTCTGCTTTTTGTTTTATTTCCTCCAAGAACGTAGACCACTTTCCACCCCACGGCCCAAGCCAATTGAACCTCGCACATCCTGGCAAAATTACAGCGACCAGTTCCTGTCTTGGAGAATGGACTGACATCACTTTCTAAACACGCCACCGCCGCCCAAAACACTATGACGTCATTGTTTCCTCCGCCCTGACTGCAAGCATTAATCACGCCCGTACGACATGACGGCCAACCGTGAAAAGTCAGATAGTCGTACTTCAAACAATTCTCAACCTTTATTTTCGGATTTAGTAAAATTGTTGAGGAAGCTAGAAGCCTTGCGGAAACTATAGAAAGCCTTAGTGTGAAATGTCGTCCTGTTTAGTTGAACACGAAGCTTTTATTCTGTTCTATGAACAGAAACAGATGGATACACAGATTAATTTTATCTTCTCCTCTTTAGTGGAAAAGCAGGTAATTGTTGAGGCAGTCACTATATGTCACTCACATAGAGAGCAAAAATACATTATTTGGAGTGAAGAAATAATTTTTGGAACATTAATAAAGTTCACTGTAGTTGAAAATCACTTGTCTTAAGGATTAACTCGACAAGTCTTTTGCAGTTTGACTTTTTTTTCCATATTAAAAAAAACAGTGATTTTAGTACAAACTAAGCTTGTATTGAAGATCTAAAAGCAATTCTTATTTTATTTAATCCTTTGACAGACTTTCAGGGCTGGAGGAGGATGAAGATAACAGTTAAGAGGCGCTGTTCTTCATCAGCTATTAGCAGTGCGGCTTCCTCCTCTTATAAGCATTGGGAGTGAAAAGGAGGTCTCAGCGCACATTGACAGGCAGCATGTCAGATCAAACAACAGGATGACGATTACCCCGTAAATAATGTGAGGACACTTTCAATTGGGTGCTGCTAGCAACTGAGAATTTTTTTACAGTGACTGTTAACACAAGTCATTACCACATCTGCCTCACATTAAGTTTGTAATGTTTGAATATCGGCCCTTCTGTGTGGACTTTGCATATGTGAATGTGAGGGTGAATTCTTGGTTATCTATGCATCTCCTGCAATTGGCCGGCGACCGCACCAGGGTGTACCCTGGACTGTTCAGTAAAGTCAAGGCAATCAGCTCAGAAATAATGTTTTAGATCACCTGACACCCTGATAATGAAAAGTGTTGTGGAAAATGACACACTATACAATGTACGATTTTAGTGTCTTCAATGAACCTAACATGAGCATTTCTGGAATGTGGGAGGAAGCTTGAGTAGTCTGAGGATGTCCAGACAGGCACATGCAAAAAGAAGCCTAGAATTGAACCAGTAGCACATCGTACTTTCCTTTTCATGATAGCGTGGTGCCTTGAGATAAAAGTTCAACTCAAACCACTTGTATCACATCATCTCATGGCCAGATGAGTATTTTAAACATCACACCAGACGGTGGCACTGATATCATCTAATTGTCTGATTGCTGCATGCCACACAGGAAGGCCGGAGCCCAGATTCGAATCCTTAACCTCTGTACTGTGAGGCAGATGTGCTAACCAGTCGCCCACCGCATTAAAAATATTCGCAAGTGACAGCCCTATTTCCGAAACCGCTGAAGTTGGAACGTCGCTGGGTTAACTTCCATGTCTGTGACATTGATAAAGAAAGGGAAAAGGGAAAAATGCTTAATACCAACTTTTCTGGTGGTGTGGAAAGGGCGTCAGTTTCTTCAATTGTCTCTTTGCTGCGTTCCGTGAGAAAGGCACAAAGTGATTGATGCTAGATATCCTGTGTTTATTCTGATTCTGGAATTTAACAGGCTTTCCAAGCGAAAAGGGTTTCCGATACTGCATTCGAAGATGGCAAATTGTCAGGTCGACTTCCATGTCAGTGGCAAATCAGAAAAGGGTTGTTTGCCGGGTCTTCCAGGGAGTATAAAGGGGGCTTATGGTAAAAACAGACCTCTACTTAACTTGGATTACCTCAGCAAAAGCCCCTTGGGGCTAAAGGCAGGTGGTAAACACTACTCATGGACGAACAACAGAAGAGTAGTGTGGTTTTAAAACTAAGTCTGACATGTAAATAACAGTTAGCGAGGCTTTCTTTCTTAATTTTAACTCGCTGAATTAGCTTGAGGTGCTAGCTGCGTTTGGACGTCCGTCCACGAATTAACTTGTCCAGCGGTCTTGTTTTGCTTTGTGCCAAACCATGGCGAAAGAGTATCGCCTCGCGGATTTGGTAGGCAGGCTGCGTCAAAAAAAAAGACGGGAAATTAAACGCTTATTTTTAGCCTCGAGGGCTTCAGCGGGCAGCAGAACTGAGAACGCCGAGTGACCGCGTCAACCCGCCGCTCGGACGGACGGCCACCGAGTCGGTGCGCGTCACCCGGAGCGAACCGAAGAAAATTGTCCAACTATGTATTTTAAACAAAAAAATAACCCAAACTAATGTTATCATATGTCTTCATAGTGTAAATGCGGTGTATATTTTAAGGAGGTTTGGTCTTATGCTGAGTAAATGCTAATAAGCTAGCTAAAGCACCACGACACCGCCGCTACCCACTCGGACTCCCGCGCCCGTCGGCGCCGCTGCAATGGCGGGGCAAGGTCGGAGCAACGTAGCGTAAAAAAAAAACATTCCACAGAAACAAATGGAGTGAACAGGCTCACCACCGCCACCACCAAGGGAATCCTCATCTCTACACGCAGCCCCGCAGTGCAGGAGAAAGAGACGAACCCTCGCCGTTGTCCGTCGAAACTAATCGCCTTCCCGGGCTACTTTTACGCCGATGGTGTCCTCCTCCTGGCGTCAGACTGCAGCGGCTACCGGGGAGGGTGGGGGGGTGCATGAGGCAAGTGTGTCCACAGGGAACCCAGCTGAGCAGAGCATCCACAGGCCACAAACGGCAGGCAGAGCCGCACACGACTACCATGTATTATTTCTTGAAATGTAACATATTATTTGACATTTATATGGGCGCTTGCCGACCCGCTGCCCTATAAATACAACGCTACAATGGATAAGCACACACACACACACACACACACACACACACACACACACACACACACACACACACACACACACACACATATATTCTTAAAGTGATACCTCACGATTAATCTGCATTTCATGTTTTTCTCCATACGAGCTCAGCCGGGGAAAGTTGCCTTGAGTCGCAAGCAAAAATTGCGTTCCTAGCATCGACGTGACAGTGAATTTAACACTAGCAGTAGTAGTGTTTTTTTTCCCAAGCTCTATATTCCCATTTGCTGTTGAAATTTACTGTGAAATAAAACAGAGGGAACTTCATGATTGTATGGACATGTATTTAAAGCAACCACAAAACTTATGAAATTCCTCTTGCTCTGTTCACCAATGTGACACGTGCAGGCATCAGGTAACCGCCAAGGACAAATGTTAAATATCAGCACAGCTACTTGCTTTTGCATGGGTTTACATTATTTCTTTTCTCTTATAAGCATGGTTAATTGTAGCTTGTCTGACAGTTGAGTGTGAAAACATGATCCAAAAGGGAGTCATTTTACTTTGATTTATTAAACCTCGAATGTATGACAGTGCTAAATTGTAATTGAAATGGTCTGTAATTATGGCTTTGTTAGTGGTATTATAATATAAGGGTCAACCTCATTTCACACTGAAAGATGAAAAAGATCAATAAAACATGAGTTGGAGGAAGTGGCCCACTGATTTAGTTAGCCGTTTCCCTCTTGGGAAATAAAGCAGAAAACAGCAATATTGGAAAAAAAAAAGTTTTATTAAATCATTTCCAGCCACTATATGTAAAATGAATTCTTTATTGTCACCCTTTCATAAAGCATCTCTTAAATATGAGCCACATAGAAAGCGCTGATTTAAAGCCGTTTGTGAGTCCTTTGGGTGCTGACTGAGGCGTCCACAATCAAAAGGTGTTATGTAAAGATCTTTTCCTTTTTTTTCCATGATGATGAGGATGCACTGCACCTTGAACAACCATCTCCCCACACGAGGAAAGCCTCTGAGCGAGCGAGCGTGTGACAGATTAAAAAAAAGAAAAAGGTTGGCAGCGAGCGAAGGATCAGTTAGCTTCGTTCTTTGAGGCTTCATCAAAGTTCTCCACGAGATCTGCCAGACAACACAGAGAAAATAAAAAAAGTGTTCTTGATCGGGAGCAATTAAACGATACAGTCAAGAGTCTCCGGGGACAGAAGCTTACCTGGGACGGCGTCATCGTCCTCCTCTGCGATTTCCTCCTTCACGGCTTTCATGTCCATCGCTGCAATACAGAACAAACATCACACATCAATGAATGGATTTCCTCAAATAGTGGCTCCTCTTTTTGTTTGACCAATCAGATGTAGTAAGGCTGGGCAAAATGGGATTAAAAAAATATATATTTTTTTGCAGAATTATCCAGTTACTGATTTATTTTTTTGCACCACTGACTGTAGAAAAAGAAACTGTAATTTGATTACGGATGAAAATAGTTGGAAAATTTCTGGAAGATTTCAATGGATAGTTAAGATGGGGAATTTTGGAAATTAATAGATTCCCAAAAAGGAAACTTTCCATTGGAATCGTAGTAAGTAAGGCTAATATAATATAATATATAATATAATAATAGATTCCCAAAAAGGAAACTTTCCATTGGAATAATGGGAATTGAGGCTAATTTAATGCAGAGACATTCTATTCAAGCATAAATTAACATGTAACTCCTCAACACACACACACACAGATGTGTTTGTTTCTACACACTTTGCCGTGGGAACTGCTCGGCCAGCTTTCGCAGGCTGCTGAGGCTGTCGGCGCCCAGCTGGCTCAGGATCCCAGGCAGCATTTCGGTCAGCTGCTTGGTCTCGGCGTGGCCCGTGATGGCGAACGTGTTAGCCGACAGGGACGCCTGCACCTTGGGGTTGTTGAAGTGGATCACCGTGCCGTCATCTTTGATCATGTTCACCTGTGGGACACAATCATAATGGGACAATTAGATACGTACGCGAACGGGTAACACATGGTAGAAGGAAATGGCCGAACAAATTAAAAAACATGCTCTGGATTATTTTACAGCAAGTGATTTTGAGACGGCTTTCTTGTTACAATAAGCCTCTTTCACAAAGAGATTCTACCAAATTAGAATTTCTTTCCACCATTGCCTGTACGGCACCAGTGTCTGGTGTGGTGTATTAAATCACTCGTCTGACAGCAACTACAGGGTGGGAGAAAGAGGTGTCAGGTGTTTTTCGGGTGTGTAAATGAGGAGGTCATCTTGAAGACCTCTAAAATACAATGTTCACCAGCTGCGCTTCCAGTAACATTTCAGGCACGCTGAGGCGCCCCAACAGGCCATTCATACATTCCCAAGAGTACCCTAATGATGTCGCGGTGATGATGGTGTATGGAGACAGTAGGGTGAAAGACAAAATGATCGAGATACTTCACCTCTTCAATGCCGGCGATGTTGTTAACGGAGAGCTTCTTCAGAGAGCCTTGGAGCTTTTTGTCATCAGCCGTTGCCGTTTTGTGGACCACCTTTTTCTTCCTGCGAGCCGTTCCCTGAGGAAAGAGCAGATTTTAAGCGAGTTATGCACATACCAATCATCAAGACAAATCTCCTCCCTTCAGATCAAAGTCAGCAAAGGCCCAATTGTCAGCTGTCTCTAGATCGTGAAATTTGTTTTCAATACCTGAACCAAGATCCTCCTTGGCATCCCAAGATCTTAGCCTCTCAGTCAAGACATTAGTATCCCTTCAGCAATACTTGACAGCAATTACTTGCTATGAGGCACCATCTAGTGGCATCGTAGGGGATTACAGAGCCATGACATTCAAGAATACATGGCTTTGAATTTGTAATTTGGAGCGTTCCGTTAACCTGCCATACATGTTTTTGGCATGTGGGAGGAAACCTCAATACTTGCAATGGCAAATTCTTGCGCATGCGACAAACACTCTGGTACTAACAACCGAGACTCAACGAAGATCCTCCTTGGCATCCCAAGATCTTAGCCTCTCAGTCAAGACATTAGTATCCCTTCAGCAATACTTGACAGCAATTACTTGCTATGAGGCACCATCTAGTGGCATCGTAGGGGATTACAGAGCCATGACATTCAAGAATACATGGCTTTGAATTTGTCAACTTGTGACATTTGTGTTCAAATTTCCATTGCTTCAGGGGTTAATTATAACTACCACCACATTGATGCTGGTTTCGTTAGCCCACGTCTTGTAATGTATATTGGCATTCAGCTTACGGACTTCTCTATGTTTTTAATTTCCAATATGTAATTATGTTTGCTTTTATGGGAAAACATTAAACGGGAATGACAAAAGACAACTTGAAGGATGATGCACTTGACTTCTATTTCGAAGAATTGTTGATAATGCGCTAGACTGCCGCTTATGACTGAAATTTTGTCGTACTGTGTGGGAGGGGCAATATTATTCACTGACTGAAATTTTTGTCGTGGTGTGTGGGAGGGGCAATATTATTCACAACGAGTCTTAGAACCAAACTTCTTCAAATAACAAGGACTCTCCGTACCCCACTTTAGACACCGTGTCAGCGTATCTAAATGCATCAGTGTATTAGTTACACAGTGCTACTTTACATGATCTGGCTTTAAATTTCACATCACAAAGACCGCAAAAGTCCAAGTCTGCAATGTTTTCCATAAATTCAAATCGGCATAACGGGAAAACTCCAATTCTGACTGCCATGCTAACTTGGTTGTATTGTAAGTCCGAGTTGATTATGTTCAAACTTCAAACCATGTGCTTATCAGGGCGTAAAGCAAATAGAAATAGTCAAGGGGTTAAAATGAGGCCAACAGCTGGAGGTCCGGAACTCTCACTCCCTCTCCCCCTCACGCCAGAAAGAGAATGCTGATGTCAGGAGGTTCACAAGCAGGGGTGGGAAACCGAAGTCTCGTGGGCTATGCATATATCAGGGAATTTATTGCAGGGCCACATGCAAATCTAAAAATAAACAGTCGATGTTAGAAATCCTAACGGTCATCCAACATACATTACATAACGACTGAGTAAGATCTTGTGTAAAATCGTTTACACTCTAATAAACCAACTCTACCAACTCTAATAAAACAACATTTGATGGTGCGTTTCATTTAACCCGACAATTAAACTACACAACAACCACGAAATGGATTAGAAGTGTAAATACCTTTCCACCTATCCGAACTTGTGCCTGGAGTTTGGCGAGCTTCTCTTGATTCATCGTGCTTTCCTGCATGGAAAAAAACGAGCATAGACCATTACACACCTCCCTGAGAACACAAAATGGACATTGTCTCATTCATGAGTCAACGTGTTTTTTAAGAATACCCTCCAAACACAACAAAAGAAACGTTCAATCATCGACAGTTTTAAAACCTTGGCCGTTTAATTAACTTCACACTTTGTGAGGCGAGCTTTCAATGACGACATTATTAAGTGTGTGTTACATGTTGTACACATTGTTCGGGGGCTACAGTGGCTAATAATAGCCTAGCGCGAGGCTAGCTCTGAGATATGACAGGCTTCCCACATAACGGCTCAATTTTTGGACATTTAAACTCCCCAACGATGTAAGGTTGATTTGAAAATCAAGTAATTTGACGGGTTTACCTTTGAAAAAAGATGAAACACTTGGAGCTTAGCTGCTACTGCCGCTTCTGCTACTCGTGAGGCTAGCAGAAAGCACACTATTCGTTAACGATAACGAAGTGGCACCACACTTCCGCTTAGCCTTTAGAAATAAGTGTCGACAATGTTCGAAACGGCCGTTAATGCGTAGGAAACGTACATACACAACAACAGCCTGGTTTAATACCGATTTTAAAATGCTACTAAAACTGTAAAATTCCGCAATTACGTCGTTTTTATGAATTCGTGCGTCGTAAAAGTGGAGTTGTTTTCACTTCTGGTGTCATAACTCCATTTTGTTGTGTAACTTGACAACAAGGCGCAGCGCACCGGAACACGCGGTCGGGTAAAAGTCACGTGACCAAAGCCCAAGGAAAATAAAAGTAAAACATTGTTTGAGTATGCATTCGTTGTCTTTATACTACTAATGTTGTATTGAATATGTAATAGTAACTTTGTGTTTTGATAATAGATTGATAATTAATCCAATGAAATGAAATCATAGGGAGCAAGAGAATCATGTTTACACTTTTATTAACACTTTTATTATGAAACTGAACGTTTGGACATCCGGTTTTTCGCGCGGCGCTACTGTAGGTGCCTATTTGTCTATCGGGGCCAGTTTTACCTTAAAAAAACAGAAAAAAGAGATGCAGGCTTTTATTTTTAACGCTGTTTTTTTCACAGCGTTGTACGCTTTGCTGTCTTTGTCGTGTTTTCAACATATCGTCGAGGCTTCGAGCGGCAAAGGTGAGTATTGAAGTTGACGTTGAGCTTGTTTGTTAGCTTGTCCGTCACTTATACGTAATTTTACTCCTGTCTAATTTATCGACCGATTCTAACATTGCAAATGTCAAATAATGAACGTATTCAATGTATCCTGGCGACAGTTTTTTTACGTTTCAGAAATTTCACGTTACCTCGGAAAGATCCAATTAAAATGAATGGTGGAATTTCCCAAATTGAACGCCAATCGTTTCTGTGTGTTTATTACTTTGTGGCGTGATTGTGTATGACAGAGATTGGATTGTCTGATTTGATGGTTTCTGTCGAAATATTTCAGAACATTTCAGAATTACAGCCACACGCTTTGGTCCCATCACAAACCATCTCTTCCTGGACTTTGCATAGAAGTGGGTCGGACTTAATGAAAATTAGAAAACACTCAGTTAGTTGCGACAAGTGGGTGATGTCAAGTTACACTATTTTGTTTGCTTGTCTTTTGTATGTTGTTATGACTTCCGGCTTGTCCCCTAGGAGTCAACACAGCGAGTCACTCATGATTTGTTTGGTAGTTTTTACACAGAACTCCCTACCATTTTTTCAACTTGTGCTGAGTAGTGGGCAATCGAACTGCGTGAAAGCGACAGCCTTTAAGTGACTCTCACCTTTGCAGGTTTTGGGGACAACATCCACTGGAGGACGCTGGAAGATGGCAAGAACGAGGCGGCAGCCAGGCAAGTTGGCTGGGCTTTGTCTTTGGACAACATAAAAAGCACTGTGATAGTTCAGCGTCGACATCTTCAAAGGATTAATCATAGACCAAACAGCCATAATCACACTAAGGTTCAAACAACTCATGATTTTTTTTTTATTACATCCTGCATTGTGAACAGAGCCAGTATTGCCAACTTGTCATGAGTGGAGACACTATGCGAGGGGGCAGTATATGTCGGTTCGTCCAGACGCATTTTGAGGATTCGAATACTGGGTTGTTTAATTTCACACCTGATTGAGGGGCAGGCACTCCAGACACACACATATTTGTATACAACTAAAATGTGTGTTTGTAATATGTCACCTTTATTTTTCATTTTTACAGTTGCACTTAATGTAAAATGTGACTAAAAACATTGTGTTTTCATGACTATTATTCTCTTTTGGCAACTGACTTTGATGTTGTGGTGCATTTATGTCTTACCAGCGGTCTGCCCCTCATGGTCATCATTCACAAGACCTGGTGTGGAGCCTGCAAAGGTAAATAGTGAGTTACACAAACACAGCGCACGGATGATGTTAGGATAGGCTAACCGTTTCATTTTGGCTCTTTCCAGCGCTTAAGCCTAAATTCGCTGCGTCCAAAGAGATCTCAGAACTCGCCCACAACTTTGTGATGGTCAACCTGGAGGCAAGGAACCCATCAGTAAATATTCCACAAGAGGGAAGTTGTCATCAATCTCACGCTGGTCTTTTGTTTGCAAAAGGATGAGGAGGAGCCGAAGGATGAAGCCTTCAGTCCCGACGGAGGTTACATCCCCCGTATCCTTTTCCTCGGTACTCCAATGGCGTCCGTAATGTTCCTGGCGTGTTTATCAGCAATTGATCCATAAACAAGGAGTCACTGTTTTTGCAGATCCCAGTGGTAAAGTCCACCCTGAAATCACCAACAAAATCGGGAATCCCAACTACAAGTACTTTTACAGCAGCGCAGAACAAGGTAACAAAAGACTTGATAGAATTTAATTTTGATTGATGCCCAGGTTAATATTCACAGCATATGACAGTGTTTCCCACCCATTGAGCCGAGGCATATAGTTTACATTAGAAGAATTTCATGGAACGCCACCATACAAAAATGTCAAAAGTACTGCGGAAATAATCTTGGCTAAATTTACTCACAAATGTATGTACTCGGTGTCAACTCTGGACCCGTTAAGTTCCACAACCATTTCTACTCGGTCCACTAATTTATAATTTATACTCTTAAAGTCACAATTACTTGTTACAGCAGAGAACTGGTGGCGCTCCTCAAGGCTCCCAACTCAGTCACATATTGTTATGCTTTTTGGGCAAAAATGTTACTTTAATTGTGAGTTATTGAAATAACATGAATTAGTGATGGACTACGGCGCCTTCTGAGTTACATACAAATATGGGTTACGTCTCAGTAGTAGGAATGGAACTAAGTCGTAAACCCGCAGTATACACAGTATGTTTGCGAGTGACCCAGGGGGTCGATAATATTGCCGGACGAGCCAAGCAACCTAACTGTTCACAATGATCAGTTATATCACCAAATAAATACCTCCCCACAGTGTTGAAAACTTCAATTGCTGATCAGATACCCGCTTTAATTTGTGCATCCAACAAAAGTCAATGCAGCTCTGCTTACCTGTTGGCTTTGACATGGTAGCGGGGGTGTTGCACCCATTTGTCATGCAGCTGTTTCTTCAATACAGTGTTTCACACAGTGTAGTCCAGCCACCAGACTCAGTCTCTCAAGGGGAGTTACTCTCTAAATTAGCCCCATTGTTCCCAAATATTTTCTTATTTCATGTTTGTAGTGGTGTCGGGGATGAAGGAGGCACAGGAGAAGCTGACGGGTGACGCCTTCATGTTCAGCCACACCGGAGATGAGCTGTGAGGAGGCTTGTGTCCGAGCTGCAAGGGCTAGGTCACCTCATAGAGATGCTCAAATTGTCACCAACACTACTTTTTTACATAATCGTATACTGTACTATCATGGATGTAGTTAATAAAGTGCCAAATTGACCCACAACTTTCCAGGGGTTCCCACACTGAGGCTCTAAAACGGGTCGGCGGTCAATTTTTAATCGAGTCGCCAATTTTTAAAACGCTGTAAGATTTTTTTTTTTTTTTAACTTTCATGAAGTTGGCACATAATCACATTCTGTTACTCTGAATTGAATCTTTAGCGTTAATGTGCAGTGTGTATTGGGAAAGCATCTTCTATACTACATGCAAGAACCCGAAATGCCACGACTACTTATACCTGCTAAGTTGTAAACACCTCATACTTCCAGACGGTTTTCGTCAACATGTGAATTTATTTTTGCACATATATTTTCCGTTTTTTTTGCCTCTCATTTTATACCCAGTATTCAAATAAAGGTTTGTTGTAGTGAACGTTGTTTGTGTGTGGTAATTGTGTCCTGAGTCAAATACACAGCAAATAGTTTTATTGTCCAACTGTAGTGATTCCCTTCTTTTTGTGTCCGCAGAAACAAATATTTTGTATTTGACGCAGCTATGTCATTCATCTGCTGCATTTTGAATTAGATGTATGACTTTTTTGTTTTCAGTGACAAAATGATGTACAGCATATAAAATGTGCTCTTTTCATTGTTTTTACCTTAAAAAAAAATTCCATGTTCAAAATTAGTCTATCCGCTAGCCTCTCTTTGTATTGGATTAAAATGCTCTTGCGGATAGACTGTAAAGTAAAAAAAGAAAAAGATTGAATGACATACGTCAACGTTTGTGTGGCCATTAAGACAGAAGAAAATATGGCAAGTAAGTCAGCCAGCATGCAGCGTGGTATAAATCAGTCCAATCGATTTGGAAACCAGGCAGGTGACAAATTATTTACTTGGTTGTTTAATTTCACACTCAATCACCCAACTGTGTACTGGTGATTAAATAGTCCACTTCGCGTAATATGTCCCCTTGAAACCAACCAAACGTAAATAAACGATTGCTAAAATTACAGCTGAGAAATCAGCTTGATCATACTATGTGCATACCTTAAAAAAAAAAACTAAAAAAAAGTGGTATTAAAAATGACACGGCTATCAAGTGTTAAATTAAATGTTCAGGCAGGAGAAGTGTTCCGTGCACTTCGCCAAAGCATCATCAAGCCACCACAAGACTTGCTTGTGTGTGTGTGTGTGTTGTTTTCAGAGGGTTGCTGGAAGGTGACCGTCAACCTAGAACCTTCCCTGCTTGGCGTCTCCGATGGCCCCCCACACGTCGAAGACAAACTCGTCCGGAAAGGCGAAGTCACCGAGGGTCTCATCCAGCGCCATGGCGAACTCGTCAGGGTTCTTCTTGTCACGGCCAACCTCCACCATGGTAGCCGCTGGATGCAAATTCCAATTTGAAAAACTTCACTTGTATTTCTCTTTTCAGAGCATTTTGCATTTAATCTTTTAGAATTGTTTTTAATATTCAAGCATTTATTCGGGTTCATTTTTTTTATTGAACTTTTGTGCAATCTATTTTAATCAACAGAAAATAAAATAAGTCATTTTTTATTTTAAGTTTGAGAACTCCTGCTATAGAAGATAGATGGATGACGTACTGTACAATGTATATTGCGTAACGCGAGGGCTACCCCGATCACATTTTCATCCACCAGAGTCCATTTCGAGTCACTTTTTGACGATGCCATTCAGCAAGCTGCTTGGCCATACACCCCTTCCCTCTCCCTTCCTGTCTGGCTTGCCCAGACTGTCGGCCATGTACTAAAATGTGTACAAAACGTTTCCACATCTGACCCTGTACCTCATTTTTCTTAACTTGCATGAACGCTCATTTCTTTGTCTCAATGAAAACACGTTTTGGGAACATGGGCGCCACCAATGCATTGATCGCTGTGACGCACAGTGCAGACTAACGGACAGTGTGTGGCTCTTCTAATCTCGTACGAAAAACCCCAAATGTTGGTGTAATGTGTATTTCAAAACTAAGCTATTGCTGTTCCAATTGGATGCGTTCTGGTGCAACGTTGTGTGTATTCTGTGAGGTGGATGGTGGACGTGGACACTCACCAAGTTCTGTGTCTCTGATGCCCATGTAGCTCTCCAGCAGGTCATCCACCTTTTTCACTGCTTTCTCTTCAAACTCTGTCGGCTGCACAATGTAAAAAAACTCGAGTGTTTAAGATGCTTTTTATCTGTTTTTACAGTATATCGATGAGTTACAGCACTTGCCTCATCCTCCACTGTGGCCGGGCCCTTGGAGCGAAGTCGAAGCGTTCCCTTGCCATTCCCAATTTTGTTGTCACTGCTGGGCTTGGCGCCCTTGGACCTCGGCTCCAACATTTCTGCCAGTAAACAAAGAATTGAGATTTCACCTCATCTAGTATTCTCTTGGAGGTGAATATGGTTAAATTAGCCAGTGGTGGCTTTGCGCAAACGGCATTCGTTTGAAGAGAGAGAAACAAAAAAGGAGGACCACAGTTGCAGATTTATTGAATGGGAAAGACAAACACACCAATGAAAAATGAAAAAAACACTCCCAAGGAGCATGGAGCAGACACTCACACTAAACTAACAGCATGGTAAACGTAAAATATGTTGTGAATGATTTGCTATATCGTGGAATTGTGTTGTGATTATTCTTCCACACAGACTGTTCTTGTCGAGCAATAAGCTGCAGCCAGAAAGACAGTGTGTAAAAGACAGACTGTCCAAAGTCTGGGCACTTCACACCTAATCAAAGAAGCTAAAGTGCAATTTACCCATTGCACAGTATAACCGTCTCACATTACACAACTGCACGTCTTCGCTAAAGTAAAATGGCTAGCCAATTTAAAATCTAAACATGTTGGGAGCCCTTGGGCTCCCCTCTATTCCATGTGTGTGTTTGCGTCGCTCACCAAAGGCCTTCATGGGCTCCACCAGCTTGAGGGTGAAGGTCTCGTTCCTGGGTAGCTCCTTGAGCATGCGGGCCACCTCGTAGTGGCGTGTGCCCACAATGTTGCGGCCGTTAATGCGCTCGATGTGGTCGCCCACGCAGATCACCTTCACCTTGTCAACCACGCTGCCCTCTTTGATACGCTTCCAACCGACACACACATGGAAAAACACTTTTGATTATTGACAAAAAAAAAAAAACCTGAAAGATTATGGCTTTAAGGAGAAAACCATTAAGTGCAGTAATAATACAAATAAATAGAATGTGCATCAAGATTTCCTGCATTCATTGTGCAGCACCAAACATTCCACTTAAGACTGGACTCCGCTGGTATGTGTGGAATGGACAGGTGTCCCAATATTTTTGTCCATAACACTCCTAAATATCTCCTGACCTACTTTATAATCTTTAAACCATCCTAATCCCCAGTTTACTATCAAGTGCTCAGACGTCCGTCTCAAATACTTTTCACGCTTAAAAAAAAAAAAAGAAGTAAAAATAATCGCCACTTTTTCAGGATCTTATTAGCTTGTTTACAATGTCACATTGTGGGCATGCAGTGCTACCTTGGTATCACATGGTGGCAAATGTGAGCAAGCTGTGTGTGTGTGTGTGTGTGTGTGTGTGTGTGTGTGTGTGTGTGTGTGTGTGTGTGTGTGTGTGTGTGTGTGTGTCTGAGACACTGAGACCATGTAAGCTTATTACACAGTGGCAACATAACAAAACTACAGTGGACCTCAGCCAAGGCCAAACCATGACAATTTGGACCAGCACCAAACTGTAAACAAAATACCCCACAAGCACCCTAGAGAAAGCAAACGTAATAGTTAATCCTCCTTCTTGGCACAGGGATAACAACGTAGCTGCTCTGGCGTCAAAGCAACAGAATCGCAAAGAATCGTGTCAATTGTGTGAACGGATCGTTGATTGGTTGTGTCTGGAAGACGCGGACGCCAAATGGAGTACACTTCTGACATCATCAAACCTACTGAATGATTGTTACTAGTCGGGTAGCATGCAAGTGTTGAAAGACATTAACCACTGTATAATTTTAAAATAAATGTGTTTTAATTGTGTTTTTTTTTTTAATTGTACATTTATTTTAGAGTTAGTTTAATTTAACTTAATTTATGTATCTGTTGACCATTTCAACTTCGTGGAATTTGCATTTTAATTGAAATTTTACAAGACATTCAATTACAGTGTTTGGTTATTATTTTTAGTGTGCACAAATTATGTTGCCGTTCAAGAGTACACATGGAACACCACATTTTCGTGATTCAGTACTCACCTATTCGCTGATTTTTTTATTTTTATTTTTTAACCTATCATTCATTATTCACATGCTAGTGACTGAAGAGATCCAGCCAGCTACTATGGAAAGGGTGAAAAACATTGTAGATGACCTAAAAGTAAAACAATGGGAAAAACTTGCTGTATTGGGGTTACATTTTCAGAATTTAATGGGGGACAAGTTAAAAAAAAAAAAAAAAGAGTGGGAAATTTTTCGCATCATCCATGGAGATGAAGCACAGGTGTACCTTGATGAAGGCGAACCCCGCGCCATTGTCAGTGATGGTAAGGCCCAGCGCGTCCTCCGACTTTAACACCTCCACCTCCTTCTTGATGCCCCGGACGTGGGCGAAGATGAAGTCCTCCAGTCCAATCTGGCCACCCAGCAGCTTGTCCATGTCGATCTTGTGTGTATTGAGGGTGCAAAAGAGGATCTGTGTGACCAAAAAAAAAAAAAAAAAGAAATGAGACAATCCAGTCAATTTGGATCATCCAACGGCCAGAAGGCATGTTAATCACTGACGGCCCTGAGTGTCATCAGTGTGTGTGAGTGTGTGTGTGAGTGTGAGTGAGTGTGTGTCTTTAAAAAAAAAAAAGAAAAAAAAAAAGACAAGGAGACTTCACACTTTAGAGGGCTCATCAGTGTGATCAGCAGAAGCACTAAGCTGATTTCACAGCACTTTAAACAGATTGACACCCAGCTAGCGGTCCGATGGCTGCCGTTAATTTGCTGCACTCCATTACGCACAACACCAATTTTAGCTACGTTTTATCTACATTCAGAGGGTACAACAACATCGGGTATGCCTATGCAAGTCAGTGCGAAAGCTGGATGGAAGGGAAAAGTGCCTTCCACATTTCACAGGAAACACAGAAAGTCCAAACAAAGAAAACACTGAACCCATCACTCAGCATGACATCAGTCAGCCATTCCCATGAGACTTTATCTCAGTGAGGATCTCGAGGTTTGGATGAGTTTTTGCTTGCACTATTGTGGACTAGTGAGTACTAACTTTCAATTCTAACTTTGAGATTTGATTTGTTGAATCATTATTTATCCATGGAATTGAATTTTGATCAATCATATCTGGAAGCAAAAGCTAGAATGCTTAGCTCATTCTAGAAGGGAGTGAATCATGGTTATTCACTGTGACAAATCACGCCTTGTTTTTGCTGCCTACCAACAAGCTCTGCTCACACAGATACACACACGCGCATTCACCAACATGCATCGCCATGGGTAACCGGCCCATAATAGAAGAGGTTGATAATGGAAAGGGGGCCGCGAGAGGAAAAAAACGAATGTAAGGGCCTACTTTCTTTCGCCATAACCCCCGAACACCGCCACCCATCGCCCCCCCTCCCACCTTTCTCAGGCCTCCACCAGGAGGTACACTAGTGCCCGCCTACAGCCCGTTACCAAGGCTGCTAGCAGCTTTAAGCAGCTTCTCCGCGCCCCAGGCAGCTCTCAGCGCGGCTCCCCTCCCCGCTGTGCCCTTCGTGCTGTTGGCTGTCGTGAGCAAGCTTCTCCCTCCACCATTCCCACTCACCACACCTCCCACGGCCTCGAGAACCGCATGGATGAAGTGCCTTAATGTACGTATTTAACTACAACACGACATGCACAAAGATGAAAGCCATTCACGTGCGCAGTGGATGAGGGGAACCACCATTTTGACTTTACCTAGTGTCCAAAATTTACCATAACTACAATAGTATTATATCAAAACAATACAACACCCTTTAAGCAGCATAATATATAAAGAAATAACATGTAACCAACCACAAAAGTTTCAACATTATATGGGCGCTAGCGGCTAACACTACAAGCTAATGTCGCAGTCTCCAGTACATCTTGGCTCAAATAGCAAAAACGAATGCATTATGCCATTTACAGGAAATCTGACTCCTTCCAATCTTTCGTTCACAAAAACTTAAGGGAACGGAAGTAGAAACCTATCAAAATAATAGCCATAAGAACCTGAACAAAAGCAGGAAGTGGAAACCCACCAAAATAAAAAACTCATCAAGCGACCAGAAGCAACACTGGTGCTCAGTGCTCCACATGACCGATGGCTCCATTTCTGCTTCGAAATGGCATCCGGAAATAAAGTGTGATTCAACACGGACATCCAGTCTTGCACACAAACACCAGCCTCCGCCTACAGGTGCTCGCTGCTCTGTGCTTTGAAGAGCAGCTAAATAAATGCGCCGCACTTGAACGTCGCTCTGGGTTGTCTGTCACCCTGCACTCGAAGGTGACAAAAAAGACCATGGAACCACCGAGCATTTTTAATAAGAGCTTTAATGGCATAAAAGCACGAACATGTTCATTCATAAGGATGTCGTACTTGAATTGTGTATATATAGATATAGATATCTATATCTATATATATATTCCAACTCAAGTGCGGGTTTAAGTTCATCTTTGTCTCATGTTCCTGCGCTAGCTGCTTTTAGTGGCGAACACTAAGTGCTGAGGTCGGCAGTGTCTGCTTTTAAATAGGAAATCACAGTCATCAGCATCAAGGCCGTGCAATCATTAACTTCACAGTGTGAATGTGTGATGTTCCATCGTGATAGCCAGGTTGGCATCACGTCGGGAGCACAACAAACTCATCGTTAAAGCCTGACATAGAACAACACCCTGAGCTAATAACCTGTGCAAAGAGAGCAAGCACAATAAGAACTTGTTTTGTTGCCAACCGAAACAGACAGCACCGACCAAGATGCCGTGACAAATAAATAAATGTCTTGCTCAAACACACACCGCGCTATTTCCTCCAACAAAGGCATCCCCTCTCATTAAAATGGCTCTTAATTAAACTTTTAAAAGCAAATCTAAAAGGTCAAAGGACAGTTCTGAGGATAACGCTAGCTCACTTGTCTTGGCACCACACAACACCCGGAAAAAACAACCTATACAAATAAATACGGTAATTTACACACACACGGACGCCTTCAACAAATGAGATCGCGGGACTTAATCTGTTGGATTAGAAAGTTCATCACACCAACACAAGGTAAGCACGGCTGTGCAGGCCACATATTTCAATGGCAGACAAACGAGGGCCACACCTCAAACTCCACAGCCGCCCGTATAAGCACAGACAGACTTTGAACCCGAGGAGCTTCTGCCCACAACAGCTGGACTGCGGACCCAGATGATGTCATAGGTCATGGTTGCCATTTTAGTTACCAGAAATACAGGTTAATTTGACCAGTCCAGTGGAAAATAGATTGGATTTAAAGGAATGACACAAGTGCAACTTTTCTGTCACATTGATTAGACAATGTAAAAATATAAACACCATAAACATCGCTAAATACGCAGTCCAAAGAGAACCAGTGTGATAAAGGCTGCGCATAATTACGGTAGGAGGGGCCCCAAAGAAGCGCTGCTCCCCCGGGTAACAGTGGGATGGCCAAGGCCCCGGCACAGTTTATCTGCTCAAATTTGAGGCAATGCCCACACAACCGGACGTTGGGGACTTCCTGCCACGGCCAGCACCAACACACGATTGCAGCATTCACTGTCTGTCTCTTAATGTGAGTGGATGCACAACCCTTTGTAGAGTCATTGATTTTATCATATAATTTGACTTTAGCGAATCTTGGTGGACAAATCAAGATTTTTTTTTTTTTTTTTCGAATCTTGGTGGACAAATCAAGATTTTATTTTATTTTTTAGGTCAAATCTCCCAGCCTGGCCAACACCTATCAAGCAGAGTTGCGACTGGAAGACTACCAGGCTCGTTTGAGTTATTAAGTCACAAATGATAATTGAAGCACATCCCTTCCTCTTTAGTCGTAGCATTCTCAGTCCACAGATGGTTATGGTTTGATTTGAAAGACAATAACACTTAGAAACACATGGAAGCGACGCCGATGGTATACGCATGGTTACGACAATGCACCTATGTCTCTTGTTTTGTTTTGCGTTTTCAGCACACATCAAGTCTGTTTGCGTTGTGTTCAGCATTATCATTCCGAGTCCACGGGGCTAAAAGTGTTTGAGTTGATTTAACAGTCAACAACAGTTTGAAACACACGCTACCTACACACACTGTTTGTAATATGCATGGTTACGACGAGCCACTTCTGTCTCTCTTCTTTTCTTTCTTCCCGGGCCACAAATGATTGGTGATGGACATGACTTTGTTATTAGCGCTGTTCTTATCATGAGAATTCCGAGTCAGCAGGTTTATATAGTTAACAGTGTGAAAAGCACGGTTCCAACAGCAGCAGGATTTACTGTGTTTTGATTTGTCCGCCCGAAGTGGCATGATCAGCATCGCAAGAACATTTTGAACAAGCCAAGGTTAACCACAAAAGTAAAAACTGGTCTCGAGAAAGATGCGAACATCCTCGTGAGTGTTACAGACACGTGATGGGACAAATGGCAGCCATGGGCTAAAACCTGCCTGGTCTGTCTCCTTTTGCAAGGCGCCAGACAGCTTCGCATCTCTCACCATCCAGTCCAGTGTGCATAGACGCACAAAAGCTGCCTGTGCATTCACACTTTGAAAAGACGAGACTATTGGGGGGGAGTGGAGGGAAGGCAGCTTTTGTTTTGGACACTGTGGCTGTCACATCTTGCTACATACTGTAGTAGAAGTAGTTACCCACCCATACAAATATATATATATTTTTTGTCGGGGCCACGATACAAAAAAGATTCAACAATTGTTGTTAACCATTTGCAGGTCAATGACATTTTCCATTTATGATATCATTGAGTTTGCTTGGTCGGTTCTTAAGGCAACATAGTTTCCATGTTTAAAAGAATGTCCCGTTCTCTTTGTTTTATCTCTGGCTTGACGGCAAAGAGTGGCATTCAACGGCTTGAAACCTCCTTTTTGATTAGGTGTTCACAACCCTGAGTTTGTAAAGCCCCCTGACTGAAATCAAGTGTCCTGGTAAGTGGGTGGGTGTTCTTACTTCGGGTGGGCTGATGTTAAAGGCGTCAGCAATCTTGGCGTACAGCTCCTTGACGTTAGAGAAGCCTTCGATCCTGCCGGTGGGGCTGCCGTGGGCCAACTGCGTGTGGAAGACCAGCTTGGGCCGCAGGTTGGCAGGCGGCGGGGGCAAGCCACCGCCGCCGTTCACCGCCGACTTGTGGCCGCCGCCGGCAAGCAGCGAGCCAGCCGCGTTTGCGTGGTGGCCGCCCCCGACCTCCTCGTGGTCCACCAGGTGCTCCTTGGTCGACTTGTTTTTTTTCCTAAACGGGCCCAGCGGCATTTTTGTGCGTCTCGGTTAGCTCGTTAAACCGCTAAAACATTTGAACCTGTTGAAATCTCGTTTTTACTTCCTTGTTTCCGTCTCGCTTAACTTCCTCAACTTCCACTTGCTCCGAGGATACTTTTCCGTCGCTCACCTGACCACGGCTCCCCGCGAAACGGCGACTTCTGCGGGGGACGGACGGCGGAAAACGAGCAACAGGTAGCCGGGGATCAAGTGTGTGACAGAGGCAACCTGCGTGCTGCCTGGCTAACAATAGCCGCTCTGTGCGCTCCTTGGATGGGCGCAGGCGCATTGGGAGCAGCGGAGACAGCGCCGATACACCTGTGCACCCAAGCGGTCATTTCATTAGACACACCTGCCAGCTGACTGGCACCACTGGAAACAACACATTTTCCTCACTGCATCTCTTCACATTTCCAGCAAACAGTACCAAATCACGAGGAATAATTTTCTAAAAACAAATTCATCAACATACGTCGTGGTTCTAAAATTGCTCCTGATAGAAAGTAAGTTCCCCACCATTGCTTTACATAATATGAAAAACATTTGCACAATATAAACAATATTTGGATACCAGCCTACAGTAATATATTTTCCCAATTATTGCAAATACAATGTCAGAAACTGCACCGGATTTTAACTGCTCTAATTTGTTTAGTTGAACATTATTCCTATAAGTGTTTTTTTGTAATATTTATCTATGATGAGGGAGAATGGAGTTGCTGGAGCTAAAAACAAATGAGGCCCCTCGGCCTCATGAATCCACCCCTCCGAAGGCCCACTCCCAAATTTCAGTCGTGATGAGTGATGTAGCGTCCCCTGGTGGGCACAAATGTCATGTAATTGAAAGTGTTGGCAGCTGAAACGCAGCAGCTGAGAACTGCAAGCAGGCTTGCTCAATTCATTGCCTCAGTTAAACGCAGTCAGCCATTTTGGGACCCTTTACCTTTGTTTGGGCAGCCCCCGATATGGTATGCCAATGATACGGTGTTCAATTCACAGATGAGCACCAAAGATTGGGCCTTGAACATCAGTTTGGGCCATTCAATTATAGTAAATGTTCGAGAGAGAGAGAGAGAGAGATAGAGAGTGAGAGAGAGAGAGAGTGATTGCTAAATTAAAAAAAAAACATTTTGGGTCCCAAAACTGCGGTTTACACAACTCTGATTCAGCATACACTTTAGAAATATAATGTTTAATACACACAGGGCCCCCAAAACATTTACAACATTTTAAAACACAAGCACAATGATGACTAAACTTTTGCCACATATTAATGAAACGGTGAGATTGTCATTTGGCACATAGCACGGGACATTTATGGCGAAAGCGTGTGAAAGCTGGGAAGCAGGCCCATGTACATAAAAGGTCCAGTCTTCCATCCACATGGTGGCATGCGTGGTATTTATGAAAAAAAAAAAAAACTGCAAAAAAGTCAAAAATAGAAATTGCACATTCATCCGGGCCTGCGTGAGCCTTGGGTCATTCTAAGTGGGTAGGTGGCGCTTCAGGACATCTTTCGCGTTGCTGGGCAACGTTTCCGGAAAGTTCACATCAAACTCCACCACCAGGTCTCCTCTCTGCTCTGGGTTTTTAGGTAAGGGCAGACCCTGGCCCGCCACCGTTTTCCTCATGCCTGGCTTCACCACGTCGGTGATCTTCATGTTGCATGTGTTGCCATCGATGGTGGACACGGTCACTGAGCATCCACACAACGACTGCAGAGAAAACAAGAGAAACAGTGAGTTGACAAGTCATGAAACTCCACCCGGGAATGTTCTGAAACAGGCAGGATAGTGCCTGTGTGTAGGGGAAAAAGCCCCTTTCACATTCCCCAAACGACCTGGAATCCAAGTGGTCCAGATGAGCTTTCACTGTGTATGCCACTTAAGGTTGTTTCCAGTCCTTCTGAATGAGCATAGTACTGCTGCACTTACTGTACGTAAGGTGCCTCGTCGGCATTGACAAATCGAACCTGCACCTGCGTCCGCCCACTTGCTAGCACGATCCCGCCATGTATTTTTACCATCCCTCCTACTCGCTGTACAGATATGAAGCTCTCTGTCTCTCTCGGTCTCTCTCTCTGACTATGATTCATTCAAAGTAGTCGGAACAAATATTTAAACACCATTTAATCACACTCTGTTTCCCATAGTGACATTTTCCCGCACATCCGGCTATTATTAGCTCGGCCGTCCCTCGTTTATGTCAAGTGACAAAATTCCACAAGTGCCTTTTCCACAGAACCCAGCAAAGGCAGGATATTGTGGTAACTGTTTGCATTTTCACACGCAACCCAGGAATTATGGCGTACCCTTACACACATCCGGCTCTGGTAGAACTTAAGACGATGGAAAAATGTCAAGCAAAAATTTGGAATAATGTTCAGGCTAGGAAGTTAGCATTAGTTACTCCAATCAAAACAAATACATCAATCATAATATTATATACAGTAGTGGTGGATACCGTATGGGGAAGGAGAAAAAAAAAGGTCTGTCACAAAATTATGTAATATTTTGTGAAATACAGATTAAAACTGATCTTTGAGATAAAACATCTGATGCTTTGTTTATCTATATTGGACCATGAGGAAAAGATGATAAGTCATGATATCAATATTGTCACCTCTTAATATATCGATACTGTATGGTTGGTGAAAATATGTCAAATGAATTATATTTTGTCCCACACCAAGTTAAAATTATTTGATAGTTGAATGCTTGTGTATCGATACTGTACCATGAAGAGAAACCGACACAATTCGTTTGATGACCAAGAGTCCATATCGTGGCTGTTTTTTCTCCAAAATATCCAGTGTTTGCTATGGTAATATTATTGATGGTAAAGCATTAATCTCTGTAGACTGGCATCTCACCTGTCGCAAGCTGACCCGGACGGGATACACGATGTTAGAACCCTCACGTCGGAAGTGTGGATGCGGCTTGTCCTTAATGACAAATACAATGTCCGCCGGGATGGTGTTGGGCGACTCGTCTCCTTCCCGTGGGAACGTGATCTTGGTCCCTTCCTTCCACCCTCGTTTAATCTCGATGGTGAGAATCTTGTCTTCTGTGCGCATGGTCCTACCATCCGGATTCAGCCGTTTGCGAGAGATCTTCATCCGCTTGGTGCAGCCATGGAAGACCTCCTCCAGGGAGACCCTGAGCTCGTGGACGATGGCCGGGTCCTGCTTGCACCGCTGCTGTTGATGCTGCCCGCCTTGGCCAGAGTGCACGTCCCGGGGGAATCCGTTGAGGTTGAAGCTGCTGAAAGAGCCGAAGGGGTCATTTCCATCCACCTCCATGTCCTCGTCGTCACGCGCGTTGCCCGCCTTGCGCCCAAAGAACATCTCGAAGGGGTTGGAGCCGCCGAAGAAGGTGGCGAAGGTGGCGTGGGGGTCTCCATGGAAGGTGTATGTAAAGTTGTTGCCTTGACTGTCGCCGGGTGGACCGCTTCCTCCCTTGAGACCTGAAGGACATACCAAATGAGACGGATTCGCATTAAACTCTAGATAATTTTCCTCCCTTTGTGGGTCACTACACACTAATCCAATTGTCTTTTGTTTCCACTGTGTATCATTCGAGATAATGATCCAACAGTTATTTTGTCACACCCTGAGTGAAAACTGATCAATATTTGACCATGTGCATCGATACTGTCCCGATTTGAGAGCAGTATTTGACAGAAATGGGTTCCATTTTCATTTTTGTTCAGTGGAATATCTTTTGAGAAAACAATAAAATTGGACAATGACATCTTGTGTCAGTATGTGTCAAAACCGATCGATAGTTGATGCATGTGTATCGATACTGCACCATGACAAAAACGACACAACACATCACACCATATATCGGTACTACTTTATATAATGTTCATAACATTCAGGGAAATTGTACTTTTAAAACATGACATGTTAAAACCTATTGAAATTTGACATTTGTGTATCAATAAAATATGTAATGATATCAATAATGTGTAGCACCCTAGTTACAACTGATATACTGTTTAATGTGTACTGTATTTATAATGAATCATGACACAATGATATGTCACAATATCGATATTTTGTCTGTGTCTTGTGACCTAGCCATCTATCAATTCGGTGTCGTTCAAGAAAATAATTCAGTTTGTCACAGTAACAATATTTTGTCCCATCCAAAGTTATCAATGTTTGACACTTGTGTATCCAAACGATACAGTAGAATCCATATTATTTTGTTCCACACCTTGTGATGTATATTTGACACTTGTGTATCAAAACTATCCCATGACAGAGAAAATATGATACATCATGACAATATTTCGACTGTGTATTTTGCAACTATATCCCGGAAGAAAACGATATAAATACAGCACATTGAGTCTGCACCGTATCTCTATTTAGATCTATGCGTCCCATAACAGAGAAAATATGATACATCGTGACAATATTTCGACTGTGTATTTTGCTACTATATCGCGGAAGAAAACGATACAAATACAGCACATTATTGAGTCTGCACCGTATCTCTATTTAGATCTATGCGTAAAAGATAGCTGAAAAAGAACATATAGATCACAATATGTCAGCTAACTGATATTTGACATCAAATTTTCGTTTTTAAGGTACATGTAGATAGATACGTTGTACAGTACTATAAGAGAAAATAATTAGGCATATTACGACAAATCGATATCAATTTTGATCGATGGTTATTACTTATATCTAAAGTGTGTGTGTCTGTGTGTATTTTGACTGAACCACGCATCAGTACATTATGTCACGATACTGAACGTGACAAATGATTGACAGTTTAAATGCCGTTACCTTCTTCTCCATGCTGGTCATAGATGTCCCTTTTTTTGGGGTCGCTCAGGACTTCGTAAGCCTCCGCGATCTCCTTGAATTTCTCCTCTGCTGCCGCAGATTTATTCTTGTCTGGGTGCCATTTCAACGCCTGCTTTTTGTATGCTTTCTTGATATCCTCTTCCGTGGCTCCTTTACTGATGCCAAGCGTTTTATAGTAATCTTTTCCCATTTTGTGTTCGTTTGTCCGTAGCCTCAGTGATTGAAAAAGGAGAGGAGGTAGGGTCGGAAAAAATGGGTTCTGTTCGCCAGGAATTCGGGTCGAATTTATCCAGACTAGATTTCGCCGAGCGGGTGAATCATCTCCCGTGGAGGATGTGGAACCGCCTGTGTTATTCTTATTCCTCTGTGCTTGGTGCCGGGTGACCCTTTAAATAGACTTGCATCTCCCTCTCTCTGTGGCGTCCACAGTATGTCAAAATGCACGCTTGACAGTCAGCTATTTCCACTTCCGAGTTGTGGATAAAACCGCACCAGTTTATCTATTACATGGTTTCAATAATTAAAGAAAACGCCACTTTTTATCAATACAAAAACATAATTCAAGATAATATCCAGAAATAAAATCTAATTACAAGGGACGGCTGTTAGCTGTGAAATGTGCTCTTCCGCTACGTTCCCTGGGGTCGGAGCACCCCCCCACCCCCATCCCAAAGTTGTGCAGATCAAATTTTGCAAAGACTAAATGAAAATATTAAAGGTGCGTAAATTTGATTTTTTTTCTTTCCAGGCCAACGTACATTGAAGCTACACTGGTCGCGCGACCATCAACAAATGAAACTATATTATTTTGAAACGACATTTCCTGTTTTATTTGCTCTAAGTCTGTTTCATGACACCCATCGCAGTCAGCCGCTGGCACATCATTTAATCATTCCTAGGCGTGTTGTCAGCCACTATCCTGGTGCTCCAGTATCATCCAAGTGAGCGGTGGCGGCTCTGGATGTGACGTCATGATAAGTTTATGGATCGGTCACCCTTCATCCTTGATTAGGAGTGTCATCACTTTATTAGGTACTGAATACATAGGCAATTTCTGTGTTGTTATAAGAATTATGTTTTCTTCTTCTTCTTCTTCTTTGATTATTCAGATGATGATATTATGGAATTTACTGGTCCAAATGGCCATCAGCTGCAACTATACAGCGCCACCTGCTGGACCAAGAAGACAATGTGGTGCATTGCCTTAGTGATTTATAGTGTCTGGTCTGGTTGTGAGTCAGCACGTGAGAGAGGCTGCAGCGCGGTGCGGATCATCATCACCAAATGGATCAATTCCGAGGATTATTTGTCAAATTGGACCGGAACCAGGATGGTTTCATCTCGTTGTCAGAGCTGCACAGTGAAATGACCACGCACGGCATCTCGGTGGCAGATGCTAAGGTGCAGGTAAATCTCTATTGCTTGCATGATGCTGACTTCGTTTTCTTCAGCTCAGTGAACATGTGCTCCTCTCACACACCCATACACATAGAATGTCATTAACTCCTATGATAAGGACAACAATGGCCAATTGGATTACAACGAGTTTCTCAGCTACATGATGGACCGAGAGAGGAAATGGAAGATTTGCTTTGACCACCTGGACAAGAACAAGAGTGGTAAGCAACTCAGGCGAAATGAATGAATGAATGAAATTTATATAAGTATATTTTTTAAACAAGTTCACAACAATAATAAATAATAAAGACTATTCATAATCCCTATACATAATAAAGTAATAAAGAAGTAAATCTTCCAAAAATGATGCAGGCTAAAATCAGACAAGAATAAATCATTCACTAAAATTGCACTGGTAACCATGAACCTCATAGCATTGCACCCATATAAAGGTATTAGGGTTAAAATAAGATTCAACTCACCTCAACAATGTTCACAGAACACATGAAAAAACAACAACAGCAAAGCAGTATTCATCGAGTACATAAAGCAGGTGTAACAGCGCCCTACATGGTAATTGTGATCTCACAAACAAAATGCTCAGTTTCGCTCTTGTTTCATAGTCTGAGATGACATTCTGACATTGTAATCTGGCAAATTCTCAATGTGCATGTCATCACTTCAGTTGGAAAATGAACAAATTTGCAAAATCTTGCATAGAATAGAATAAAATTACCGTACATTTCCAAAATGTGGTATATGCTAAAATTTCACACCAGTAAATCCCTCAAAAGGTGGATTCTTTAAAAATAAATCTACAGTGAATCCCATAAAATTACGCGGATTAAAACAAGAATATTGTAAATCTCATAAAGTTTGCACAGGGTAAACTTAAACTAACATGAAACCCCCAAAAGTTGAACAGGTCAACACAAGACTATATGTTTATACCAAAATTGTTGTGGAGGTTAAGATAAAACTATTGTTAAGAAATCATACACACAAGTTGCTCTGTATACAGTAAAACTACTATATACCAAAATAGGTGTGCGTGTTAAAACGGGCCTACCGTAAATCCCCCAAAAGTTGCACAAACTCAAATAAGAATTACGTAAAGCCTGTAAAAGTTGCAGGTCTGATCCAATGTGCGAGTGTACTGTATCTATCTTTGTTGTCATCATACATCAATCAACAAATATTTATCCTGCTACGTTGCATACAATAATTGCTTGTGCGTCTCTTTTTTGATCAGGGCTCATTGACCAGGAGGAGATCATATGTTTGTTTAAGGAGTTAGGAGTGGTCATTTCAAAGGCCCATGCCAATAAAGTAATACAAATGTAAGACTCCTTTTACCCACTACACAACATTGAACAACACTAGAACCTCCAAAGTGGAACATGATTATAAAATGACTCATGTTTTGAAGACTAATGGATAGTTGGTTGGCAAGCTATGCACTATTTATGTTATTGATCCAATTCATTTGTGTGTGAGATTGATTTTGAATGAATTACATTGTCTCGGCTAATGAGGAGCCCGACCCTTTCCCTTTCTTGCTTCCCAAATTGTTTATTGTGCTCTCTATGGTGCTATTTTTTAAAGCTTTGACTTTGGAGGTTCCACTATAAAGGATATTATTCATTCATAAATTAGTCAACCCGGAATTCCTTCAAGAATGTGACTATAAATAACTACTCTTACCAATAACGACAAGTACGGGTAAGCAGCACACACGTTTTTTTGGCGACAAAGTCCTACTCAGGCCACTATTGTTACATTGTGCACTCACAATTTTCTGACATTTACAGGATGGACACAGACGGCTCCATGACAGTGGACTGGGATGAGTTCCTGCAGCATGTTATTCTCAAACCGGTGGACAACATCGGTGAGCTGGTGTCGTCGTGGAAACACAGTCTGGTAAGACTCCAAACATCCCTTCATCCATTTTCTATAGGGCTTGTCCTCATTAGGGTCAGAGGTGAGCTGGAGCCTATCACAGCTGAATTTTGCTGCGATGCGTAGTAAAGCTTGGACCGGTCGCCATCCAATTGCATGCCACATTGTCAGGTTTATCCAATTTGACACTCAGGAATAAAACACAAGGAGGAGACAGGAGACTCAATTCTGGTACCAGGAGGGAACGAGGAGAAGCGTTCGGTTTCAGTTCTCGGCACGTCACCCCTCACG